TCGACTCCTGGCAGAAAGTTGTGGAGCTCTCTGTGCCAATACTTGGCCTTTGCCAAGACTTTCGCCTGCTTTCAGGATCTCCTCAGTGGCCAGAAGACAGGCTGGTATTTTGACCAGCGAGACCACAGGATTCTGTTGGCCTCCATGGTCACCCAGACACCCCGTGTTTTGGACCTCTACAGTTATGCCACTGGACACATTTCAGCGGGGTGCAGGCTTTTATTGTAGCCTTCGTGACCTTTTCTTGTTGTCCCCAGCAGATCCAAGGTTGGAGGTTTTGGAGTCATGCTGGCTCATTACGGCAGCCTGGCTGATGCGGGGATGTGTGCTTCAAGGTTTGTGATTTATGCGAAACTCAAGGCCGCTAAGGTCCACATATTAGCTTAAAGCCCGAAGTGAGGATTCATCGGATTCGTGAAAGACAGCAAAAGCTTCGGTACAGGGCCTAGGCCCAGTGTTTTCCTCTTTCTGCTGGTGCTAGTGTTTTTGCTGTCTGTTGTGTGCCTCGGGCCCGTTGTGCCATCAGCATAGCGTTGTAAGTTGCAAGGTGCAGAGTCCGTTGTTTGTGTGGACAGCAGCGAGGTCCGTGCTGCCGCAACATGAGGGATGTACGGTCAGATCAAGGAAGGAACTGCGCAAACACAAAACTGACAGCAAAATGGGTGAGTTAGAAGTTAGATAGCCTAGAAAGCAGAAGAGACACGCACAAATGAGGCTGAAGACGTCAATGAGAAGCAATCTAGTTTGGTTCTTCAGATATGGACGGATTCTTGTTCGGGCTGCGTTCTCACGCAGACATGCCCTGACACCTATGCTTGAATTTCAGACGAGAAACAAGTATGATCTGGGGTCGAGCCAGGCCGCTTTGGAGCTCTGCCGGCGAAGTGCTGCTATGAACTCCGTGTCCCCGCGGGTCAGGCGATGTAAGGGACATGGCATGTCCAAACATGAAACCCGAGATTGAAAACATGGATCAAGTGACCCTTGGATTTTGCCTATCGGACTTAAGGCTGGAGCTCGCAGATGCAATCTTGGCTATTCCTGGCAGGGATTTGCGACAGGAGACGTCTCAGTCTGTGAGCGTCTGTAAGCCTCATGAAGGGCCTCCTTGTTTTCCAGCTTTGCTGCTTGTTACACATTTGGATGCAACCACCCAACCCGGGCCTGCACCTGAACACAAATTTCGACACTGAGCATTGTATCTTAAACCCACAGCCCAAACCAGCTGAATGAGGCTTGGACTCCAGAATCTTGGGATCTTTTTTTGGTGAGGCAAGTGCAGGGCGACGCGATGAAGTTCTTGCAGGAGCACTGGGCAGACTGGGAATCTTGTTCCAGACAGTTTTCGCTTCTAGAGTTGAGAAGCCTATGCTGATGGCATTTTCCATTTCATTCTGAATTCTTCATGTGAGGGTGTTTCTGATGGCCCTTATGTTGTGTTTCTTTTGAATTCGTGTCTGCAACTTCGACGGGTCATCTCACAGGTATCCCTGCGCATGCAGCGGTGGCTTCAGGCCCTGTATACATATTTTTGCGAAGGCTTGAGGTGGAGCGCCAGGCACAACCTATCTATTCGCCATTTGCCTAAAGACACCGTTTTAACAGTACGGAACCATGTTGTGGCAACCCACAAGCCCACATAGACGCACAGAATCAGGGGCTGTCCAGGCAGAAAATCCTGAACGGCTATCATCATTAGAGGCATCCATCCTCCCAGCCATGTGAGACGGCGGGCCAGACCGCTGAACAGCAAAGCACTTGTGAGGTTCTCGTCGCTAGGTCAATGAAGGGTGTCTGAAAAACATGTTCGGCAATGCTAGTATGAGCAGTCGTTGATGCAGGAGCAAGTTGGACACGATGGAAATGGGAGACATGACAAACCAGAGTTTGACCTTGTGCACTTTGCCAGCATGTTTCGGCTTGTTTTGGGTGTTGCTGCACAGTTCAAGCAACGCACAGAGAAGCACACCCAGTGTCCGAGGATTGTGGACCCTCCTAATCTAGGAGTGGACCGCATGAGCATGCCCAAGGCCAGGGCGAGTGGTGGACGTTTCAGAGCCAAGATGCCCAAACAAAGCTTACACATCCTGCCATTTTAGTGTTCTGCAGGCAATTCGTCACTACGAGTGTCTCAGCTAATTTTGGAGCGCATCCGCGCAAGACAGTATTCGTTCAGCGTGGCTTGTGGGGGACCGTCGCTTGTCCCGCATGCCACCTGACAGGAAGCTGCTGCATCACGCGTCGCAGCTTTGCGCATCTCCTGGATGGCTTTTTGTGGCTTCCTGTACATACAGCATTGGTCATGCTCCCAGTTGACATGCTGCCCACCAACTGGTTGAAACCTGATGCTAATCTGCGCTCTGGTTGCACAGGGTTTTCTGATGTTATATCATGCATGTGCGAGAACGCCCAAAATCATGAGAGATTCTTGCTTGGCCGGCAATGACCCAGAAGTGAAAATTGTGCCGTCTTTCAACATGATTCGAGGTGAGCGTGAGCTTGGCGGCGCAGCCAACCGCAACTTGATACTGAACGTCAAGTAGGGGACAGGTGCGGGTAAAGCAAACATCAAACGTTCTAGTGGACACAGAAAGGTGCAGCAGAAGTAGCCACTGTGAAGAATACTCAGAGTCTTTTGATGGCGCTTCAGCCATGCGATCATTGTTGTATCTATCATTAATCATCTTCTTTTTTGAGGTTGTCACTTGTCTCGCTGCAGTTTCGTCTCCAGTCTCCATCGCGGTTTTCATTCAAGGTGCTTTTGCCTGGGCTCAAAGAGAACACCGTTTGGCGGCCACCAGCCGCCAGGCAGACTGCTTGTGCAAAGTGTGTGGTATGGGGAGTGTTTTGCTCCGGCAGTTCTCAAGATATTCCGCTCAGCATGGGTTCCCGGGCTTGCATGGCATCGCGTCAACGCTGCAAGCGGTCGCAATTTCAGCTTGTGTCGCACACTGGTGTCAGCTGCCCCTGTCATTTTGTAGTTGTTGCGTGGAGGCCGTGGATCATCCTGGGCACCTGATGTTGCCAGAGTCGCAGTACCTGAAGGGCTTGTTGTTTTATCTCCTGTAGGAACAGATTTCACGTCAAGGGGCCATGCGGGTGCTCCAATTGGCCCAAGCTGTGTAGTCCGGAGCTGCTCCATGAAGTCTGCCTTGATCCGTGTTGACTTGAATGGTGGGGTCTACCATCGTGCCATAGTCAGAACAGTCGTGGTTCTGTTCAATGGTTAGGTTCATGCTGTGGATTTGAGCATTAGCGCGCCTTCGGAAACAGAAAAGACGGAGCTACGGACAGTTCCATAGAAGCCGTTGCCTCACAACGCCAATTCGAGATGTTCAAGTTCGCTAGAGTGTCTAAAGGCTGTTCCAGCAGAATGGTTTATTTTGATTTCGGACTAAGCGCTATCTATACATGTTGTCGTGTGTTCACATAGTGGCAGGCTGAAGTGGTGCGTGGACGCCTAGCTGACTGGGCATTCGAACTCTTGCGCAGTTGTCAGGAGGTAATTTGACCAAAGTGACAAGAGATGATGTTGCAAGGCGACCTCCTCGTAGCGTTAGCACCGCAATTGGAGGCCGGGAGATGATATGCGGCATGCTTTGGGCACAAAGAGGTCTAATGACTAATGGGCGCAGTTGGCAAACTTGGACGTGCGTACCGCATGACATGTAATTAGAGCCACAGTTTGGCTTGCTGGAAGATGGCTGGTATGGAAGTGAGGTGCTTCTGCATACTCAGGCCAAGAGAGTTCGTGAAAGAAAGCATCTTGCATCATGCGTGCAGTTACAATGCTGCAGGGCCGAGCTGTTTCATTCTAGGGTCTCCCTCAGCTCAGCTGGCATACAAAATGATTGGATAGGTTGGTATGCATCAGCACTACATGGAGGGGTCTTGAAATAGTTGCGGATGAAAACATAGTTTTAATGTCAAGGCCAGTATATTGAAAGACACATGCAGTCAGTCACTGTGTTTGCAGACCATGTGTGCCCTGATAGGAAAGACAGTCTGCCATGGTTGCATCAGGTCTTCTCATAAATACAGGTGCATGGCGTTTGGCTGTGTTGTAATGTCACCACGGTGTTGGGGCTATTCTTTCATGGGACGTCGCAACGATAGCTTTGTTTACGACAAACGGAGGGACGGTGGCTTCAGACTTATTCAAGCTCATCCTTCTTCCAAAGTGTGGATGCTCACCAGATCTCCAAGTCCAAGCCTACAGCTTTGATGGGTAACTTGTCGTCTTTAAAGCTCTGAAATTGATACCATTTTCGAGCTTTGCCTATGCCGGCCGCGTGGAAATTTCATCAGAAGTGGGCCTAGGCCTCTGGACTCTTAAAGAAGCAGACAAGTTTGCCCCTCTTCGATTTCTCGAATGAAGTGAATCAAACCTAAGAAGGCATCTCAGTAGCGAAGAGGTGGCCAGGAGGAAAGACGGTTCACAACTTACAGGACTGAACTTCGCTGGGGTCAGCAAACAATGCCAAAGTGGAAATGATGTCGTTGTCAATTTACCGAATTTTTCGTGTTGCGTTGAGTAACGTGATAACTAGCTATCATACTCTTGACCCGTTCCCCAGAAACCCTGACATTCCAATAGCTCCCAGAGTGGCAGATACCACACAACTGCGTGCTGTTGCTGTCATTCAGGCACGCCTCAGTGCTGACGGTTTCCGTGCGCGAGACTTGGCCAAGGTGGGTTCGGTGAAGTTTGCTGATTGCCCGGGCCTAGAGTTGAGTGTTTCCCATAAACGGACCTTCAAACAGAGCGTTGTGCCCGGGCCTAACGAGTCTTAGGAGGTGGCTCCCTGCAAAGTGCTAAGAAGTGCTGCTGGCATGAAGATTTACGAGAGATTCAGACACAGGTTGTATCCTTTGCAGCAGTTGGAACGGCACTTCTTCAGGACTTTGGAAGAGGCTCTTTCAAGAAGCCTCGCTAAGAAGCAGTGAGGAAAACAATGAGCACCGCTTGGTAGCAGACAAGGCTTTTGTGAGCTGTTCAGGTTTGCCGCGCCTACACTTCAGCGCGCTTCCTTGATGCGTCCCACCTCTCAGTGCTTGTCACTTGTTGCAAGTTCACCCTGGACGAGGCGCCTTTGCATAAATCCACGTATGTTCGGATGAAGCCTTTGTCTGTGCTGTTCTAAGGCGAATACGCACGCAGAACAACTTGTTGCTTTATCTCATCCACTTTCGCAAGTCCATGGCCCTCAGAGTAGGAACCTTTGAGACATGAAATTGTAACAGACCGGCAGATTAAGTGAGAGTATCCTTGAAGGCCTCTGCGTCCGATCTGTCACATCTTGCAACCGCAGCGATGAAAAGCGGGGCGGATGGCACGGAAGGGCTGATCAAAGAGGCCTGTGAGTTCTCAGGGCTTGTGGCGGTTGTCCGGCTTGGGCTGGGATTAGCAGCACGACTCGAGCACGTGCATTCAGCACGTGTGCATTTGCCATATGTTTCCACTCAGTCCATTTGCCTGTGCAAGGAAAGGGTGCTTGCTTGTCCTTGTGGCCAGCGGATGAAATGGCGGTTACCAGCTTTTCCTACCAACCTGCTCGGGGTGATGTGGCGCTATCTATGTGACCTGTGTGACTAGTCTGATGCGTTGTTTGGACTTGCTTCCTGGCCGTCAGGCTGCGTTGCTCGCAACTAAGCAAGCATCTTTCATGCTGCCTTACGAGCAGCTCGGCATTTGACAACTTCCAGGTTTTTATGTTGATTCTTATTGTGACCTTGGGCTACTGTGCTTTTTGTTTAGTGAAGCTCCAAGACTGAGCATCGAGTGACCGTGGGGTCTTCGGGTCTTAGGCATTCCTTGTGGGCTTTCTGTCGTGTACTCTTTTTGAGAGGCAAGATATATGCACCCAAACGCACAAAGGCCTCGACCTTTAAGTCACTCTGAACCATTCACACAAAAGCAGGCGTGATTAAAACCGTGGGTGCGGAACTTTGCATGCATTCATGTGCTGCAAACAAATGTGTGACTCTGCCCCAGATTCCAACTGCACCATGCAGGCTGGGTCTCATTGCTTCCACGTTTGGATCTGCTGCCGCCAAATTTCTTGCCAAGAGCCCTGCGATGCTTCTGCGGCAATGGAGACACCTATATCATTGAGTGATGGGTAACCCATAATTTAACCACATCGCAGACAATGTGAACCATCAGAATTGCCGGGTGACATGCTTTGTTTTGCAGTAATGTTTCCAAGTTTCAGCACGAGGCATGAACTCAAACTTGGCTTTTATTTTAACGCCTTATGCTGGATTTCTTTTCTACCAGAGGGTGAAGACTGTTGGTTGTGATGGGTGTTATCATGCTTTCTTCCTTAGGGGAAATCTGATGGCTGAGGAGTGAAATGGCTGCCATGGAGGCGGCTGTAGCGCCGGAATCCCAGACAAAAAAATCCTCAGTTGCTCATGTGAACCTGTGGAAAGGGCCAACGGAGCAACTGACCTACGATCAAAATATGCGATGAATTCACACAGTGCTAGGGCAGCCGGCATAGGTACTCGCGCGTGTGTGTTGATAGACTTTTGTCTAAAATTCAAAAGCTGGAAGCAGATGTCCATCTCAGTCACCTTCTGGTTTGTTTCAATTCAGGAGTTGAACATTTTGTGTGTTGGAGCAGGGTTTCAAGAGGGTTTCAAGACTTCGGTGTTGCTTCATGCCAGCTTCTTAGGCTGGTCCCGCAGCATGCTCAGCTTCTGTGACTTAGAGTGTGAGGGCCAGCCCTGGGGCTCTTAAGAGTTCCATTGCAGGAGCATCCTCACAAGCTGTCACCTGCAAGGTCGGCTGAGCTTCTCCATGCCCTTTGCCGCGCTTCCGCGTCGGTGCATCATAGGCTGCAGGCCCCACAGGTGGGACGCAAAATGGGCTTTGAATGCTGGCAGACCAAGATGAGAATTCGTGCTGTTCGGAGTGGATGCTTTCAGCAGTAGAAGTTGCGGGAAGGTGGTTGGGGTGCATAATGTCAAGCTGGTGCAGGTGGCCCAGGTCCTGGAAGGCTGCGCCAGGCTGGGCTCTCAAGCAATGGCCTGAATGCAAGAATCACTTGGCCATGTAGATGCTGTAGGAAGCGCTGGATTGACAGACTGAACCGCGCTGAAGCCAGTTAAGCGGTGTAGCTCTATTAAACCGAGATGAACATCATACAACTTGTTTTGGCATGCGATTCCTCATTTGGTCTGGCTCTTTGATGTTCCACAGCTGGTCAAGAGGTAGACCGAACGAAGCTGGAAGACTAGACAGAGTCGACCGGAGCCTGAAAGAGTTGTGTAATGATGTGTGGGGATCCACGTAGTTGGGGTTTACCTTTGCGCTTGATATTTCTAGCGTGTTCCTGCCATGTGAGCAAGTGAGCTGCGTGCAGCCACGCAGTTGTGTCTAATCAGATGTCTTGTGAACAGCATTTTCTGCATGTATTGTTCGCGCCTTGCTCTTGTAGCGTGCATTGTCTGGTGGTCTTGCGCCATGAATGTTGCTTGTGTCAAGCAACTGCCATTGCCGCTGTTGCTTTTCCAGGTCCCCGGCTCGCACCATGTCTTCTTCAACCCCATCCCTGCACATGGATAGGTTGTGCGTGTTTGCATGCTGGCCTGTTATTAAGTTATGGGTTTGTTTGGCTGCTCGAGGCTAGAGGACGTGGAGGTTTCAGGCTTTGTCGGGAAGGTCGAGATCGTTCTGTTCTTGTGAGAAAGGTGGCTATGACATTTTGCGCGTGCAATCTGGCAATCTGCTTTAAATCTTTCCAGTTGGCGCCTTGGACTCCCGGCGGCGCCCCTGTTGGCTCTGGCTGCTGCGGCGGCAGAGGCGCCAGCAGCGGCCATCTCGTGGCTTGCAAGCAGATCTCTAAGTCCAGGCTTGCGAGGCTGTGGAGTATGAGTGGACCAAAACAACGATCAACAAAGCTTAAGTATGCGCTGTGGGCATCCCATTTCATAGAACCTTTTTGGCATGTCGTGCTCAGCGATGTCTTCGGGCATTGTGTCTGAGAGAGCCGACTGTGCCGTTGACTGTAGCGGTTTCTTGCAAGGCGGTTTTGGCCTGTGACCCTCTCAAAACATCTGATCAAGCTGTCTTTCATTAATCCTTTTCAATCTGTTATTGCTTAGGTTGAAGCTGAATTTGCGATGCTAAAATGCAGTCTCAGGTTGCGAAGTCTAGCGAAGCTGCTGCCTGCCGGGCCCTGGGCGGTGATCGTTTTTTCAACGGATTCTGTGGGCTGTAGGATTAGGACTACTGCGACTCGTGTCGCAATTGCTTCTTCTAGCTTTGTGAGGCTGCAGGGCGGCTGCAAACATTTTTGGACAAAATGTGGCAAAACTCCAAAGCTCTGAAGGTCAGGCCGCCAGCCGATTTTCGAAAGGGGGGGGTTCATGGTCAGGCATTCAGACTGCGCAGGTCTCGTGTTTACATTGCTTTCGAAAATGCCAGACCCATCAATCATCCCCGGCAGCAGACCCCGCCACCCCAGAGCAAAACATGTGCAAGACCAGACGTGCAAGTGGCGCAAAGCCCCGACCCGCAACAGCAGCTCTGAACCTTAGGAACTCACGTCTACAACGAGTCTACGAAGCTTGAGGGACCCCAAATCTCACCTTTGCTGAAGACTTTCTTTTCTTCCTTTGGCATCTGCCCAGGCAAGCGCTGCCGAACTAATCGACCAGCATGCTCCGAGAGTCCCGCTGAAGGCGTCTCACTGCGTGAAAGCTTTCTGAAACAGAAGAGATGTAACAGAAGCAATTCTTGTAGAGTGCTTTCCAATTAGCAAACCCTGCGATGGGGTCTGCGGAGGGAAGGTTTGGCCTTGCTGGCACGTGCTGCATGCGAAGCTCTTGTGTGATCAGCTGTTATATCCGAGTTCCTCAGCTTCGGCACGTAGAGAGTTGCGGTCTTAGCCTTGATGATCTGCACGAAAGGGCCCACTGCGTGTGGACGTCGACAGTGAGGTGGGACATCCAGCCGGCACCGGTGTACTAGCAGCTACTAGCATGAGCTTGAGAGGATGGATGGCTCAGAAGAAGCTTATGGGTCCAGGCATTCAGGATCCACAGCTCGTCTTGAATTTCAGCATGAAGCCGTAGCACTCAGAAATGCGTTCAAAGTGGGAGAAGTGTGCATGGCAGGCCACGCTTGCAGAAGAGAAGGTTGGCAGCTGGCATGTTTGAAATTGCGCGCACATGAAGGCACCATGCCCGGTGCTTAGAACAGGGTATTTCGTGCAGCTGACGAAGGCAGCCAGTTAGAAGGGTGGAGTTGGTCTGGATGTTGGAGTGATGGAAAGCTGCGATAGCCAGTAGTTTCTCTGTGGACTGTCTGGTCCGGGGGGGGGGGCGTGACGGTGATATGGTGGTACAAGCCACCCGGTGCAAAGCTGAACGCGGAGACGCTATTGAGGGGTGGTGTGCGCCAAACTTGGAGTCTACTTCCCAGGTTGAGTAAGCATCCCGGCGAACCCGACCGTCTCAAGCGCCTTTGCATGTTACCCCATGTCTTTTCGAAGCATGTGGCGAGGATCATGATCAGTGCGGGGTCATCCCAGCTTTGTGATTTCTAGAGAACTCAGGAAACTCCACTGCTTGACTATGCCATCTGGGCTCTGTTACAATGCCTCACGGTCAGAGAGCAAGCGAGGTGGCTAAGCATGATTGTTGGGGTCAGCTGGCTCGGCCACAGGATAACAACTCTAGCTTGCAGCGCGGATCGGCGCAATGGAGGCCTCGGCTGCAGCCCAGGTTCTTCAGGCCTTCGGACGCTTGGTGTTCAACTGAAGCTGCTACGCCCAAATGCTCGTTGTGGCCTTGCTGTTTTCCAGAACTAGTGTTGTTTCTCTTGAGGGTCCCCATCAACCTGCAAATGTGCAGCTTCAATCTCTCAGGGGATTCGGCCTGGATGGCAGTACTTGCCTTAAAGTTACGACTTTTCAACCGTCTTCGAGTGCAGGATCTCATCCCGGATAAGGTTCTGACCCTTTAGAAAAAAGTTTTCGATTTCCTTCTTCACCAGACATGATCGGTGGGCACGGTACCCAACCCAGGGATGCCCTCACAAACCCTGTAACGGGCTTCAGAGCCAATTCATTTTTCAGTTGCTTGGGGGCTGAACCGTGCCAAACTTCCCTCCAAACATTCATCGTTGAGGGGGTCTTGGCTTTGCCTCCAAAGCAGATTCGAACTTGTGGCTGTGCTCGCAGCCGAGACCAGACAAGCCGGTTTGAGAAGCGGGGTCGGCGGCGAGAAGCGCCACCTCTACAAAACATAGCTTTCGCTTGGCATGCATCCGCACTGGACCTTAGCCCCAAGGCACTGTAAACAACCTGTGGCATCTTCAAGCTGTTTCTATACGTGCCCATGCGCAAGAACACCGCTCTGGCTTTTCTGGTAATGGTCCTAGTTGCCGTCATCTTGACCCACTTGGACAGGATCTTAGAGTCTCAAAAGCCCAGGAGAGCAGGCCTTGACCATCGCACAGCTTCGGCGAATACTACGGCAAGTGGCGCCCAGGATTGATTTTGTGAACTTCCGCTAGGCTGCTTGCTGCTGGCATTGCCTTTTGGATTTTGGTTCCTTATGCCCATCTGAGGAATGAGCAAAATGCTGGCAAGAGGGTTTCGTAAAGGGTGGCAACTTCGTGTGCTAAGTCCCCTACAGAGGAAATGCATTGGGAATAGCTTAGCACGACCGAGAAGGTCCTGATTTCAGAGTCGCCTTGACCAGCCTGTTTCTTTTGAAGCCGCCGGACAGGTTTCCATCCTTGCGCTGCCAAGCGGGTTGCAGCATCCGAGGATGCCAGAATTGATGATTGCACGATCGACCTCCTTTTGGAGCATGTGCCGCAGTTGCATATAGCCGCTGAGGCTTACATGTCTAGTGTCTGTTCACATGGTATGGCCTTGTCCCATAGCTTGTCCATGTTGAAGCCTGCAATAACAGGACTAATGTGTGCGTAAGGAGTTGCATGCAACAGGGCAAGTTGCCAGCAATCGCAATTCCTGAGGCCGGGCAACCCACTGCCGACCTGGAAGTGGCCCCTGGCCTTAGAACCTGGTAGCTGCAACCTTCACGAGAGTATGCCATCAGAAAATGAGGTGATTCAGGCTGCCCTGTTTATGTGTGTCTGGTGTTTTGAAGTTTAGACTTGGTGCTCTTCATACACCCCTATATAACCTGATGAAATTCAATGCAGCCCTCTATCATACCTAAACATAAAACCTCTTCAGAGGGCCCCCTAGTTTTTCGAGCAAGACTTTGCAGAGGCCCAAGTGTCGGACTTCTGCAACTTCCTTTTCGATCGCTGTTTGGCCCACCAATACCGTGCAGACGCCCGGCTGAAATCCAAGCTTCCAGAGACTAAGCGTCATAATTCTCTTGTGGTCCGTTTGTGGTTATGGTACAATTTACCCCAAGCCCTTTTTTTGGTCGTCCCCCACGCTAGGGACGCCTGAAGAAGAACTCCAGGCCTGGCATCGGCCTTTGCCGAGAAGGTTCCTCACCTGCCCCAAAGCATAATTAGGGTACATGCAGACGAGGAAGCTGAATGCTGCGAGCACCGTTTGGACGAATGAGCTTCTGCATGAAGAAAATGCTGGGCAAATCATAATAACCTCACCGGACCTTAGTGTAAATGTTTGTTGGAAAAACTATTCATCCCAAACTGGCTTTTTTGCTGCTCCTTGCATTTCCTGACTCAGCTGGATTCGAATCTTGCTATGCCGTCTGAGCCATGCAAGTGGGGAAAATGGCATTAGTTTCAAGTTTTAAAGTCGTTAGTCATTATGAACTGCCTCAAGTGGAGGGCGAAGTTAGCCAGAGGAAAAGATGGAAAGATGGAGAGAGCGAGACAGATTGACAGCTGGTCATGCATTTGCATGTAATTCTCAAGTCCCGCCAGTACAGGTGCTCAACACAACTTAGCGCACATTGCAGTGTTTTCAGAATTATGCCAGGCAGTCTTCGAATTTATCATTGTTGAGATTCGCAGGCTCTAACCCCTGCTGCTCGACAACATCTTTACCCATCTCGCGCAAACACTAGCCAGTACTTTCAGCATGGCTATCACACGCCGGGGTTCCCTAGCATGATCCACATTTGTTGAATTGTAAGATGACAAGCTGCGTGGGGAGTCCGGGCGCGACAAATTAAGGTCAGCGTTGCTCACTTGCGTGACTCGCTGCTCCCCCAGGCCGCTTTGGCAACCAGCTTCTTTTCGTTTTTTCTTCAGTGAGCCCGTGAGCGAATGCCAAGTAAATGCCGGAGAGGTTTCACTGTGCTTAGAGATGTTTGTAATTTACCGTGCCGTGACAGAGGGCACACCAGCTTTGAAGAGATTCATCCAGTGGAAGGTTGCTCTGATGGGCAACCAAGCAGCTGCCTTTTCTTGTTATCTGTGCAGGACCTGCATATTTTTTGTTCCGCCCGCTATCTTGTGTCGGGGGCTGGGAGAACGAGTCCTGCGCGTGGTTTTGCTCAGACATTTCCCAGATTTCCGAAGACTTGATTTCCGAACCTTGCCTGCATTGTCAATTTACCAGATTACCTGAAGCATGTGTGTAAGTGAGTGAGTGAGTGAATGAGTAAATGAATGATTGAGTCAGTGAGCGAGTGGGTGAGGGGCCTGGAGGGGATGCGGAGAAAAGAAAATGGTGTTCAGTTTCTTCTGTTGTTGCTCTGTGTGTGCCGCATGTTCTCCATGGCGCTCCGCTGATGACCTGTCTCCGGGATCAGGCTTGCTGCAAACAAACTGCAAGGACAGAGGGAAGGGGACGCAAGGGAAAAGAAATGCACAACGTATGTTTGCGGGCGTCTGCTCTCTTCCCATACATTGCAATTTCTGGCACGTGCAGCAACCTTAGAAGCACCTAGAACTACCTGGGCTTGATATGTCCCATTAGCAGCAGCGGAGCCATCGGCTGTTGTTATTTGTGACGGTGCCTCTGTTGACAGCGTTGGCTTTCTGGTTATCCCCAGCGTTGGGCAGAGTGTCTGGCTTGATATGCTGGCTAGCTGTTTGTGTATTGAGTGGCTGATCAGGTGGAGCTCTGTGGGCTGCACAGCGATGCACGGGTGTACGAGATCGAGCCCCTCGGTGCTAAGCACTTACGCCGTGTGCCCGCTTTAGAACCTGGAAAGCCTTCCCTGCTCTTTCTCACCTGGTTAGTCTAATGTGCACTGTTCCAATCCAGAATCAAGGGAGTGGGTGTGTATCGGGTTGTTGGCATCTTCACACCAACTTCGAAACCCCCAACTGGGAAAGCGGTGTCTGGGCCATCACAGGCCTAGCATCATCCGTCCAAAGGGTGAAATGGTCCGTTGCCCGCGAGACGGCAGGACTGCGCCAAAGGCTTTGACGGGTTCGTGATGGCTTTGTAATCCTGGGGGGTTTTCAAGGCGTAGAGACTCGTAATTGGAAATTCTTTCAGGACAGCAGGCTCCAGTCTCAGGTTCTCAACACTATGAGCCACAACCTGGAAGCCTTGTTCACATTGAAGATGCTTACCTTGGTTCAAGAGTCCTAGACAGCATTTCGCATTGAATCAAACATGCACCATGTTTCCAATTGTTGTTGTCAGGATGGGTGCAGCATATGTGGACAGCATCTTCGGGCCTGAGAATGCTGGAGGCGCAGACTTGCTGCACGTACGTTGTCCTTCGCCTGCCGTTTGGTATGCACATCTAAGACAAGTGAACCGAGGCAAACAAAAAGTCATCTATACAGTAGCTGTTCTTGCTGCGCCAGTGCTTGCCATTCAGCAGGCGAATTTTTGAATTGATCCTTGAAAGCTCAAGCTGCCGGCCTGTCATGGTTTTACAGCTCTGCAAAGAAGGTGCAGCCTACATGCTGAGCTACACTTGGGGCTACAAGGCGCAGATGAGGGAGGTGATGATCTGCATGCGGAACAGCAGCCATCACCAAACAGTAGAAGTAGCAGGAGGAGGAGCAGCAGCAGCAGCAGCAGAAGAAGCAGGAGAAAAAGCAGCACGAGAAGCAGGAGACGCAGGAGAGAAGCAGGAGCAGCAGGAGCAGCAGCAGCGGTACTGGTTGTGCTTTTCAGTGGTGCCCTAGCGCTGCGATCCCGGATAGAAGTAATGACAGTAGTGCTGGTAGTTGTAGATGTACGCTTGCAGCGACGAAGTGATGCATGATCTGGACTCTGCAGCAGTGTGGCCCAAGAGATTTCAGCCTGGACGACTCTTCGAACTGGCTCGTTGTTCTGTACAAGGCTCGGCATTGCTTGTGCTGAGCCGCCTGCTTCCATTGTGACTTCCTGCCTCAGATGGCTGATGTCAAGACAAAAGCTGCTGCCTTTATTGCCGCAGCTCGGCAGAACAAGGCAGCCTTCAGCTGTCAGTCTATTGAGAAACATGAGAAAGAAGAACACTGTCCATGGAAAGGTGTGGGTTGGAAAATGTCCTGGAGCTGTTTTTGTTGTGTTCCAGTTGGGCTGTCACCGGGTCTTTCTCTCATGCCGGCTTCTGAGCGGCTTGCTGGCGGATTGGTTGCGTTGTCCGCATGCTGTACCTGCCACGCTAGTGTGTGTGTGTGTGGATTACTTGTGAGCCATCTGCATGTGATACCGTACAGCCCAGCATGTGGACCTTTGAGCCCACATGAACACACTCAATACAACTTTAGTTCCGCAGCAGTGCCTGCTGCCCTTAACTCACTGAAAGCTTCATGCAAAGGTCGCCAAAACATGGTAGCTATGGTGGCGTCACAGAAGCCCCGCAAATTCTTGTGCTTCACTCTTCTGTAGTGGAACCAAGGTCACTGTGCAACGAGCATGCCATAACTCCTTCATCGAATGGGCCAAGGGCGATTCGCCACATGCAACCTGGCCGGGCATGGGCCAGACTATGATAGATATTTGATAGAAGCAACGAGCAACTTGGGATTTGTCCTTACATTTTGATGGTCAAGTCTTGGGAATGTTTGCGGTCAGAGACACTGCAGGCAACGGATGGGTTTGCCCCCAACTCATTGATTGTTACCCGTAGCAGGGAAGAAACGGATGGATCTGCATAGCCCCCCCTTAAGCCCCAAGAATATGGTAGTTTCCATTGTCTTTTCCATTCCTTCATTCCTTGCTGATAGCCAGCAAGCCAAGTGCCGAAAGTCGTCTGTTAGCTAGTTCAAGCTCGGCTTGGCATGGCATGGCATTGGACGTGACCCCAGGCCCTGTACTTGTAGTTGTTTTGCCAAATGCCATGATACCAATTCTCCCTGTTTAGTTTGGCAAGAAGGTTTGGTCTCTGTCTGGACTTGGCCTAGTACCTTGTGCGCAACACCTCAAGCCTGATTCTCTGATGCTGTGCGTTCTGGCAGCGCCGTGCTCTTGTGCTGTATCCTATCATGGAAGTCGCACCAAAAGAATCAGAATGCATGGGATAGAGGCGACTCCACATTTGTTGGGTTTGCTCGGTCTCTAGCAGTCGGACAGGGGGACGTTCACTCTTTGGTTTCAAGCTGCATCTTGTATTGCAACTCATGTGCCGTGCCTTGGCATGTCTCGCTGCTTGGCATGTCCCGCAGAGGCAAAGTACACCGTATCCAGTGTGATCTTCGTCGCGCAAATTATTTGTGCCACTTGGCGCCGAGAAATGTGAGGAAATTCTGCCTTCTCAGCCTTCAGATTGGCATGTAAGCGCCGAGCCCCAGAGCAGATCATAGCATCCCATTCAGCTGAAGCCTTATGAGGTCTTAAGTGTGTGCGGAAGCCTCCAGCTTCCCTACAAAGATCACAGAACACCCAATGCTTTGCTCTGAGGTTGCGATCGGCTGGATCTTGGCTCACAGTACTGGAGGTAAGGAAGACCTGAAGAAGTGCTTCGATGCCTGCGGCTGAGGTCTAACAGTCTCATCACCGCAGAGTTTTGTAACTAGGGGATTCCTCTGTCGAGCTGCTTGGTGGCGGGATCAAGTCAAGGCTGGAAATCTGACGAAGTTTGCCCACATTGGCCTTATCTATGCCTTGGGAGACATCTTCGAGATGGAATCAGTCAACTACATCGACCCTGGGCCTTGATGGCTCCTGCCTGCTTAGCTTAGCCTTACGTTGCTAGGATTGGCGGTGAATCTCAATTGCTTGTCTCTTGCTTGCCTCCTTTCACGGGTGTTTCCACCCATCAACGCGCTGATCATCATTTGCAATGTTTCCCTCTATATCTTCATGGATGATGGACATCCTTTTTCATGGCTGCGCAAGAACACCTTCCCATTCAGTGGCACACAGTAGTGTCGGGAGGATCACGTGGAGGCAGACTTGGGGGGCTTGCAGGGGCACTTGAGAGTCTTCAAGCTTAGGACTCCTCCACCTACACCGTGCTATCTCAGTCAAAGCTCATCATCACGGCATCGCTGATGTGGATCCTGGATGGCCCCTCTTCTGACTGTTAGCACCGTATCTTTCATACATTAACACTTGGCACCATACAAATTGCGAAACACACCCAGCACCAGGGAAAACCACGAAACTGCGTAGCTGTCAAACCTACACCACCTATCCTTCCGAGCTCTGTCCGAAGGCTCTGCACAGAGCATGATGCAGTGGTTCATCCTCTTCACAACCTCCTCTGGCATGCTGGAGCACCTTGGAATTACTCAGCCCTGGCGAACACTCGACGGGAGAGATCCCAGAAAGGCAAATCATATCTTTGTGAAACCGTGGACCTACTGGTCAGGAAGCTGAAGGCTATGCAGCGAATTGAAGTACGCCAAACGCCGACCGCCAGATAGGCTCTTCTCCCCCCTCCTGGAGGAAGTAGGAAGCAAGTCCATCAGAACTCCACTTGAGCGTTGTCCTCCGCGCGTACTAGCGTTGTGGTTTGCGCGTACGACCTTAGATCGAGAATTCAGGTCAAGTGCGGTATCATTGATTTTGTGGCCTTTTGGAATTCCAGTCTACGCTTTCATGCTGGCTGTCAGTGTAGCTGCTGCCATAGTGGTGGCCAATAATCTGGTTTGAGGTTTTGTGTTCCCAGCCTTGTAGATCGGATTCAGGGCCCCCAGGCCATTTCTTAAATCTGAATTCGCAGCTCCACTTAAGAAGAAGTGGCACGTGCCCACAGATTTGACACCGTGTAAGGAAACCCCAATTTGAGTCTCCCAGCCCAAGGTATGTCCTGGTGGGCAAGGCGAAGGGCGGGGCCATGACCTTTAGCGTCTTCGGTGTTTCTCAGCTTGCAAACTATTTCAGGCCTAGGTAGGGAAGAATCGAAGTGATAACCAGATGATATCCCATACTCTCTTATGATGATCGCAATGAATGGCCCTAGTGTCTCCTGACATGCCTACTTGGTTTCAAGCTTTAGGGCAACAACCTGGAGCAAAACTTGGCGAGCATAGGACTTGTGAGCATCGGTGCACAGCCAGTGACAGATATGTGGAGCCTAAAGGAGACCTATATAATCCCTCAGAAAATACCCGTTTCCGTTTGATGTGCCAGTTTCTTTTCCATTTGATTCCCCACCGTCGGAGTACAATACACATATATATATATATATATATATTTGGTATCCGCCCCATTTAGTACTATTTATTGACTGTTTTTTTTGGACAGTACAGATTTTTGCGGTCCCCAGAAGCAAAAGTGCGGACTGTCCCCAAGTTTTTTCGAATATTTCGCAAAAGTGCTGTACTGTCTCAATCTTTGGGGTTCCCGAGGGTATACTGCCATGTGAGTTGCTTGTGGAGGAATGGATGGAGTTTTGCCATTCCCCCTTATCGGAAAAGTGAGACTGAGTGAGTACTTGGGAAAGCACGGTGCCGCACGGGTCGCGTTTTGCACTTAGTGACTTAGTATTTGTAGAGGGATCTGCAAAAAGGCGTGCTTGCCCACATTGGCACGCGGCAGGGCACAGCCCAATGTAGAGGCGACGTTGCCTGTTTGGCTTGTATTCTGCCGGGGGACTATCAGGGGAAGAGCCCTGTCGCAAGAACTTCCGAGAGGATGGCGCACTATGTTGCCCTTGTGCCGGCTTTGCCGATGGCGGGCCTGCCTAGTTGTTGCTCTGTGCGTGTGCAAGCAAACGCTCTTCTTAATCGGGCCATTTGCTGGCCCCGGAACGTTGTTTCCTGGGCTTGGGAGTTCGCCAGCGTGAGCTCCAAGTGGAGGGGGCAAGGACGCTTGCGGAGCCCCCTGAGAACGGGGAGGGATCGGTGCCTTGGACATGGCTTCCTGCACGTCCCACCGCGTGCAGCTAGTCGCTCACTCACTCACTCAAACAGGATTTTTGTATCATTTCTAATTGAATTATGAAAGGAATTCACATAGACCAAAACCCTCCTGAAAATCGGTGCGCCCGGAATCCAGGATTTTCGTTTTTTTAATTAGACGTTAACAGGAACTCATAAAAAACAAAGTTACTGTCCAAAACCGGAAATCCAGGATTTCAGGATTTTGTATCATTTTTAATTGAAGTATTACAGGATTTCATATAGACCAGATATCCTTGAAATGACAGCCATATATGTAAATAAGTATATATATATATATGAAATCCCAACATAATCCTCATATGTGCAATATATATCATAATCTGGTGGTTTCCATTTCAGTCTCAATTTGATTTTCCATTTGATTCTCCACTACCAAGGTTTGCCTGGCCCTGGTCAAGGTACCGGGGCGGTCTGGAGAACATTTTTGCTGAGTGATGCTCTGCCGTTTCTGCACAAAATTCCAAGGGCTCCCCATAATCTTGCACCAACAATGCACATGTGTGCTGATGGGGAGACTCCAAGCTTGATTTTGGGTTGTCCCTGAGACCAGTGTGTGCTTATGCGTAGGTCCATTACTCCGTGGGTGCTCCGACAAATGACCCATTCAGCCTCAGACACATCTTTCTGCCCGGAAAAGTGCTTGTCTGGCATTGCTTCAACTTTGCCAGGTCTTGATTAGCTGCTATGTGGCAGCGCCTTGGCAAGGGTTAGTCTTGGTTGTGGTGCCTCTGGCTTTCACGTGATGATCATGGACAAGATATCCACAGATTTTTCTGGTTAAGCAAGGCTATGGCTCGGCCGTACGCGTCAGGTTTGCATCAATGACAGTGGGTGTTTTGTGGAAACATCTGCGAGCTCAAGAGCAATCAGCTTTTTTCGCTGGAGCATTGAGGCAGGTAGAAGCTGCCAGGGGTGTACGGGAAGTGGTAGAAGCTAGATTACCAGACCACCAAGGATGGGCACTGAAAGGTTGCCACACGTTTACAAGTCCGTTGCAGGTCCTGAACACGAAGGCGCTGAAGCGGGACAACAACCCCTTCCCTGTTCAGTGCCTTAGCTCTAAGGAGGAGGTTGTCTACAAGGAGATGAGACCATAGCAGCAGTAGCTTCAGTACACCGACACGCCATAATTTTGATCCGTAAGAAACATAACACGTAGAGGTCATTGAGTGCCGTTGTCTCCTGACATCAGGAAATTGAGATCGTACCGCTAGTAATTCGATCAAGAACAAGGGTTGGACCCCAGCCCTGCAGTTGGACTGCATTTGTGGTTCCCAGACCAGGCGAGCAGGAACATGACGAATTGAGATCGTCTACTCAACCCAACCCCCAGACAAGCCCAATTCCGATCCCTTTCCTCTCTTCCATCGTGCTGCTGTTGCCAGACGAGGTTCTCTTGCTTGAAGGTTTCATGGGCAATGGCCAGCTTGGTCTACATGATCGTCAAGGACATCAGGGAGTCTACCTGCGCTTGGGGTGTTGCGGTGGAGGTCTCTGCAGTTTACTGAGCTGATGCAGCCGCCTGCTGGAGGATGGCATCTTGGGCGACGGCATGTTTGGTGAATGGACTCACCGATCCCTGGTCTGAAACTGCCCTCACATCAGTCCAAAGCAGCCCACATAGACATGGCGGGGATTGCGGAATCTAAGCACCGCTGCACCTGGAACCCCCGCCTCTGCGCCCGTCTTAGTCTGATAGTAGAGGCAAGTTTCAGAAATGACGCAGCTGAGGAACGGTGGTCCTCGTCTTCTGTGGTTTCATCCTTAAGTGACCCGGGCTTTGGTTTCAGGGCTCGGAGTGTTCAGGTTTCATTGATAGCATTGCATGGGTTAGGGTTCAGCCCTAGTGATCCATCTCGGTCTCAAAGTGCTCTTCTGAAATCCTAGAAAAAACAATGCCGGAGCTCTTGCCAACAGACTTGGTAAGCCTTGGTAAGCAAAGTACGATGCAGGATACATGCCCCTGGTGCAGCAAGCAATTAAATTAAACACCCGGCAGCTTCACCCACAGTCACTCTGAGTAAAACAGGAAGGGTTAAAACAGGAAGGGTGAGAGGAGTTGAACTACCATCAGGTGCCCGTCTCATCCATTTAGACCGAGGACGCTCTTCAATCAGTACCTGCTCAAGGTCCTGGATGCCATCTGGAAGAACATCAGCGAGGTAGATGGCAAGAAGCCAGGTTGAAGTTGTAATAACCGCTGCTTGAGGTTTGAGGTTGTGGACTTTATAAGGGATCAGGTTTTGGGTTAGTTGCGTTTGGAGTCCTATTGCTGAATCAGTGGTAAAGGATCAGTCCGGTTGTTGCAGTCACCCAGCTGAGATGCACCTAGCTCTATGAGGGTTGTCAAGTATGCAGCGTAAGGTGAAAACTGAGTTAGCTGGGTCCTCAGGCTCCGCGCTGTTGTCCCAAACCATACGTGCAGGCGATCGGCGTGATCCTCGTCTACTTCGGACGTGTGATGTTCCTAGGAGGAAAGCAACCCGGCTCCTGTGATCAGACAGCATTCGTAGGCTTCTGGTGCCTTGGTGGAACAGGGTACGGCAAGGCGACGATTTATACTTCTCGCTGAGTCGTGATCCGTGAAGTCACCTTAAACCCATTTCACATGCAGCCGACTAAGGTACGACCCGACCGTGTTCAACGCTGGGGTTACCGTCGTGCTTGCATGCATTGCCTACGTCCTGTCCAAGGATTGGCGGGATGAGGGATGGATGTTGTGCAGTTAGTCTGCCCTTCACAGTGGCCTGTGGCTTATGCGGGCGTTCCAAAAATCGGTTTGATTTTCTGTTGGAATCTTAGGTTGTTTTGAGATTGGCCTCTGGAGTTGCCTGCTTCTCAAATTGCTGTTGTGAACTCTTTGCTCTTCCAGGCTTTTCCAAAGCTATGCCGCGGCTATGCTGACCTGCCCAGAAAGAGTTTTGAACCGTGTGCGGCTGCACGTTCTTGTTGTTGGGAGAAGGTCCAGAGCCTGCACTTGCAGATGGACATGCCTCTAAATCACTCGGGCCTGTAACCGTAAGTACAGAACATTGGGCTTGCAAGAGCTTCCCAATCCTGGATGCGTCTTCCTGGAATGCAGAGGCACTTTTGAGAAAGGCCCGAAGCCTCTAAGTTTCTCGAATCCCTTAGTCCTCACTCTGGCATGGAAGGAGGGCAAGGCGAAAAAGAGCGAAGTCGGGGACGAGCTTGACCCAAACATGTCGCTCAGCTCAATTCGTCTCTCAGCCCTGGTTGCCAAGAAGTCTTCAGCTCTTGGAGCTTATTATTGATCATGTGCTGAATTTATGAACTGTAGGGCGATCCGTAACTTTGCAGGACAATGAAGGCATGGTGTGCTTGAACCAAATAGGAACAGAGTTAGAGGGGTTTTGCCCCAGCTTAGCAGTTCTGACGCGCTCCCAACTGAGGGGCTGCAAGGTCTTGGAAAACTGTTGTGCGTCTTGTGTGTTCTGAGGGTCCGGAAGAAACAAAGGCAGATGATCACTGAACCTGATCTAAATTTTCTGGTTGCTGGCTAAGGTACCCGGATCTTACAACATCCCTGCTTCGACATCGGCGTGCGTGAAGGCTTGGCAACTGCTAGGGTCCAAGTCAGGTACCGGTCCCTTTTTGGTGTTGGTTTCTGACGTGGCACATGCAGCCCTGTAGAATTGTAGCTTCCGAAGGTTGTAGCTTTCAGCTTTGAGTTGTTGGTGGAGCTGTTGTAGACTTTCGCCGAAGCATGAGACCACGACCTAGACGTTTTTTTTTTTTTTTTTTCCGAAAAGGCATGCCAAAGGCAACTCTGGAGGAGACAGCTTCATATTGCTGATGGGTTTGTACATACGTTTGTTGTTAGTTTATTGGGGCTGCAGTACTAGCAACAGACGGCCACTTGCCTCTCCTAAACATTGGGTCTGCAGAGGACCTTTGACGCTTGATCCTGGTGCCGGAGCTGACTCCCCGCAGAGAGCTTTCAGAGCAATTCTCAAGTCAAGTCTAGAAGATAGTTCGAGGACGCATTTAGGATGTCGGACCAGTAGTCTGAATCAAAGTTCCATTGTCCTCATTTTCCTCTTCTATGATCAAGACCAAGACTTTCGATGGAGTACATAGGCCTAGTGCAGGTCTGGAGTCTATCTTTTCTGTTAAAAACAATTGTACTTGCTGAACATCATGATCACGTCGAATATCGGAGCCGCGTTTGCAGCTGCATCCGCTGCTTGCTGTTTGGCAGGGTGTGGGGGAACCGTTTCCTAATTCATGATGGCGTTTGTTAGCTTGACGGGTTCTTTATTACAAAGGCAGGGGAGCATGTGTCTGGGACAGCAGTTGCAGCGTGTGATGCGTTGGAAGATTAGGTCCAGATGCAGTGCACGGGGAACCTGCTACACCTCTGATTTACTTCAAGTTGACGTCATGCTCTCGCAGGCTCGCTAAAATAGAAGGGGTCACATATGCGGTTTGACCCAGTAGCATCGTATCTCGGCACTTGATGAACAAGTCATACACCGACAGCACCGTAATGTCCTTTAAGCCTTCGCCGCGAAAAACATTGACAAGTCTGAAGTGATGGCATACTTGCAGCCTGCTGGCAGCGTGGTTGCAAGTCTCAGCTCCCGAACATCGGGGTCATTTTTTTCCAAGCCTGGGACGTGTTTCTGGGCTTCAAGGTCAGATGTGGCATTGCAACAGGTTTTCTTTGTACTCCGGATCGTACAGAAGTAAGAGAGCTACCGCAGCTCAATCTTGAAGGCTCATCTTGTTTGATTGAACTTGCGTCTGAGGCACTGACTGGGGTATAATGCTTGCCTCTGGCAAGAATCAGTTGCTGCGTTACCTAGCTTGGGTGTGCCCAAAGGACCCTCGCCAATATCAAGATGCTTAGACGATGCGTGCCAATTTTTGTTCTTGGATTTGCAGTGTTATCTTTCTACGGTCCTTTAGGCAAGCCCAGGAGGGCATGCAGAGGCATTGCCACGGTGGAGGATAAAACAGAGACGTGCTGAGAGTTATGCACCAGAGCTTGTCACATACCGCATTCAAGCAAGCAAGCAAGCAAGCAAGTGTCTCCTTTTCCGCAATGTTACTTGCCCAGCTGTTGTTCTGCTTGTAACTTGAGAGAGTTCGTCAACTGGCTTTTGCAATGTTGTCTTCAACGGACTGCATGCGCAGTAGGTCCAAAGGCATGCGTGGAGTGCAGGCGCTCTTTTGCAGCGGGCAAGTCACCACAACCAAAATACTACGTGTATTCGGTGTCATGTCGTTCCAGAATCCTAGAGAATTCTAACAAAGATCCTCAAGACGTTAAGTTGGTCAAGAGCTTTGTTCCATGTTCCAGGGCTGGAAGAAAATTTCGTCAGTGCGCAGGTTAAAGACATTGTCGAGACTCTCACCGACTTCTGTGCAGTCCGAGAACAACCACCAGCTGAGACGTACATTTGGATTTGCTGTGCCGACCTTACATGGAACTCAGCATGATCTGCAGTGTGTGGTCGCCTGGTCCTTCAGACCCGGAAAATCCCTGAGCACCTTGCGGACGTGGTTTCAATGCGTAAGAAGGTATCGGCCTCCAGCCAAAGGCAGTGTGTAGAAGCAAGGGGTTCAGCAATCTATGACGCCCCATGCATCAGCATTTGCTTTTACGAATGTCGTTATCGGTCAGGTCAAAGATTTTGCACCTGCTTGTCGAGAGCTTTTGATTTTGCTGGCTGTTATTAGGGCATGAAGCAATGGAAAAGGAAGGGGCAACTCTTCTATTCGTGGGCATTTTAGGGATCCCTGCCTCCATTCCCCACTAACGACGGGCAAGGAGCATTGCAAAGGGACAGCACCTGAGGTCTCTGCATCAACCAGCACAGGGTCAAAGAGGCTCAGGCAAGTCGACTTAAAATCCTTAGGGAGAGGAAACCCAGGAGTGCCTCAACAGTGTCGTGTAAGACTGTTCACTGAGCTATCCCTTTGAGTGTTCAAGGATCGTTAGAACATGCATGCAATTGACAGCAACTGCTGAATCCTTCAGGCAGTGGGAGTTGCGCGATGTGACCCCAAAACAGACTTGAGACAGCTTGATCTCCCACCTTGTAGTTCTTGCTCAGTAAGGTTCTGCTTCAGGTTCATTGTTGAGCAAGCCTTTCAGGAAGCACGGGTCCGCCGTCGGGTAAGGGCATCGAGGTTTTCAACAACAAGCTCCTGCTCGTCCTTGAGCTGTTTCTGACGTAAGCCAGTACGTTTGAACTCGCCTGCAAGCCCTCCACCCATCAGATCCCATCAGCGTTCTTGACATGCAGTTGAAGAGGAATCCGGGACCGCTGTTCCCTTCGAGGACTTCGAGCAAGCCTTTGGTCAGCCCCTGGCTCAATGGGAGCACAGAACCTCTAGCTTTATGGGTTTTGAGGTTTAGGAAACTTAGTAGCCTTTCTCAGCATTTAGAAGGGATCAACCTGCTGGTAGCCGGGGGAGAGATTGCTGTCTGTCAGTCAAGTTTTTTGAGCGTAGCAGCTGATTGCAGAGCACCCTGTTGGCCATTTGAAGGCGCGTTTCTGGCATCGGCCATGTCATCGCGATGATGGCTCCCTGGCACGTGCCCTAGCCGCAGAAGAACCGCAACATATCTGCGAATCTTGCGTCTTGGAAGTTTTTGAGCAGGAGGGCACAAGCAGTTCGAATCAGAGTTTGCCATTCAATCTTGCAGCTAACTGCTGCCCATCACTTGCTCTCTCGCTCTCTCTCTCTCTCCCCCTCTCTCTCCCTCTCTCTCTCTCTCTCTTTCTTCCTGCGAGCCAGGTTTGCGAGCTTCTGATCAACGTTGCTGCCCACATTGATAATCTTTGATTTGCAAGCGCCGTATCGAAGTACGTAGCTACTGTGATTCCATGGATGGGCTGGAAGGAAGCATGTAGTTTCATAGGCAAGGCATTCCTCGTATCACTGGCATAGCGACTGTGGAGCTGTAACCGTCACTTCACCCAGGAACCGCTCTACATCTCACGTGTTTGGTGCCTTGATAGCATCATGATTTGCTGAAGAGCAAGTGTGCAGCCGTAGACTTCTGCAGCTGGGTGCGGGTCTGGCAGTATGATGGCTTTCACTTTGCTACTGAGTTGCTAGACCTCTGACTCGCTGCAGGTGTGATTTCGATTCTGGGCCTCATTCAGCATGTAGTCGGTCATGCCACAAGGTCTAGAACTTGAGGTACTTTCGCTGAAGCCTGCTGAAACCTGCTGCTGCTCTTTGTAGTTTCTTGCCGAGGAGATGTTCACAGCCATCCACGTGGCCAAGTCAGAAGCACCTCGTGAGAAGGGTTAGTGGAAGGCTTGCAGGGGCTTGGCGGTGTATTCGGAATTCGTCTTTATCGAATCACGTGAGCAGGACTTAACATTCACCCCTTGCCACCTTACCCGGTCCTTTCTCGCAAGGTGACCATCGTCATGCCGCCTCATGAGGCTGAGCATCTGCGCCAGGAGCTGGTCAACGGCCAAGGCAACGCTCACACGTCTCACCAAGGATACAGTGCTTTCATGCCTGCAGAATCACCAAGATCCAAATGCTTTTGGAGCAGTCTTCAGGCGTTAAAGCCGTGTGGAATGTGCTGTCTCGCCTGGATGTCGAGAAGGCTAACGCATCCGTCATCCGAGCTCCTGCGGTTGCAGTGTGATTTCGGGTGTGATCTTTGACTTGTGTCATGTGTCAGTCTGCTTGTTTGCTGGATTGGTTGAAAAGGCCTAGAATGCTCATGTGATCTCATGTGGCATTTAATTAGGTCTTCCAGAGCACAGACCCTTGAGGTATCTTCAGTTCTCAAGAGATTGGGCACGGCTTTGGTGCCAGCCTTCATCGTTCCTACTGCTTTCAAAGAATTGAGCTGAACGTGAGGGGTAAGGGGAAGTATACTTGCAATATCTTGCAATCAAATGCCGTAGCAATGAACGGTCCTCATGCCAAGGATCGGGAGCTCATCCTGCAACTCATTCAAGACGGGCCTGGAGCTCACAAGCTCAACACAGCAGCCATCTCAGCCTTTTTCAGAAATGGCACAGTTCGAATGCACTTATGTACCTTTGAGATCATGTCAGGCCTCGTGCGGCATCCTGGCGAACTAGGTACTTGCTATCATAGCTGTAGCATGATGTTTAGCCGACTGAAAGCCATAAGTTGCTGAACTGCCGCTGCCTTCCTTCTCCGTTTTGGTTGGTACCATGAATTATTGGACATTTCTTGGTGTGCTGTCATCTCAAGGAACTGCGGAAAAACTGAGGGACAGAAACATTGACCTGAAGTGCAATTTGCATGGAGCCTGAGGTCATTGCGGAGCATCTTAAAGACTGGTGGCTCTGATGCATTCTGCATTTCGAAGTGGGGTGGCAGGAGATTGCAGCACAGTTCTGACTGTTGTGGTGATGCGCTACTGCCACAGACCTTACGGCCACCCCTTGGTATCCGTTTCAGCGTATCTACAATACATGCAGCTATGCCCCTCTTGTTCGCTGGAAAGCGCTCACAACGCAACATTTGTCCCCTTGACATGCTACTTCGCTCAGATGGGTAATTCTTGGTGATTAACAAGGTATTGTTAGCATTATTCCTAGAACTGCTACTACTTCTATCATCATTCTTATTATGAAGCCCCTGATCTTAGGATCCTTGAAGCCTGCGAGGGTCATCTGCTGCAAGCTCTCGGTGGCAGTAAGTCTGAGACCCTCGCGAATCTTTGCAACGAGGCAGGGTCAAAGGGAGCAATTTTTGCAAGTCATGTGTTGCGAAGATCGTGTGTTTCAAGGATCAAGTGGGGAGACTTTTCTACACATGTTCTGTAGGACTTGCGAGGGGCACGTGCTTTTTTGATCCCTGCTGTTTGACCAGTGGTGATGGTTAGACGGTTTGGCCACGGCAACTCGAAAGAAAGTGCCTCGTGATGCTAAGCCGGACCCTCTGGGCACTTTATCACTTGGTTGTAGGTAAGGGTCTCAGCGATACGGCCCTGCCGAACACGAGCACAGTTGCTTGGCGACGCATGCGGTGCACGCATGAGCATGGACTCATGACTGTCCAGGTAGTGGAATGCGAATGTCACAACAGTTCCCTGGATTACTTTAGCTGCACATCAAGATGCATGGAAAGCAGGTGATGCACATGGATATTCATAAATCTGACCTAGTTGCCTACCCAAAATCTGTAAGCGCTAAGTACCCCGATCTGAGTGAGACCCGGAGTATGACTGAGATATTGAAGCTCATGATCGCCGAACAATTGTCAGCAAAGCGTTACTTAGAGACCCCCGATGTCCCCCATGTAATTGGCAAGCGTGCGCTGTTACCAAGAGCTTCCAGCAGATTCTAGCGCATACTGGTCGATTTTCAGCTGAGTCATTTACTCATCTAGATTCACCAACAAAGCAAAAAAGGCAGTCTTCACAGCCGTAGAAATGTCTGCAAACGTTAGCATCCCAAGCTGATGAGCCCACGGAGTTTCAGCTTTGTGCTTTTGTTTGCTAGGAGCCTGTTTAGTGACAACGTGACGGCTCATACTGATATCAATTTACAGAAGCGGCTTGGCATGAAAGACTGGGAGCCTACAGTACAGAGACTCTTGTTTGCTTGTTAATGCTGCACTTTCTGGAAATGAGACCATTTCTGGACAGTGGTTTTGTAGTGTGCCACCAATCAGAGAGTGGCTAGGAGTACTGATGACCATCATGCCTATGTGGAGGTGGGCAGCCTCCTGGCGGACCTCGGGTATTTAGAGCGGGCGCGCTTCGTGCTAGAGGAGGGGCGCAGGCTGCTGGTTGTCACGTGAACCCTCACGACCCTGCTTATTCGTTGCTTGCGCAGGCAGCGAGGGCTACTATTCGGAGCACATGTGTTTATATCTAGGTTTTCAAGACGTTCAGGCAAATATCTACATATATATGTATATATGTATCCATATACACATATATCTCTTGTTCATTGCAGCGATGCTAATTATGTGCTATGTTCCTGGGGAACCTCAGTCAGAGAGTATGTGTCAGAGGGTTTCATGGTGAATTCCGCAAAACTATCCCACCCTTTTTGTGTATTGTACGATCACCAGGTGCAGCACCCGACAACAAGCTTTGAGCAAGCCTGGAGTAGCATGTGCCAGCAAAAGTTAGAAGGCTCCATGCCAACTCCAGATCAGCAGAAGAAGCGTTCCAGATTGAAAGTAGAGCTAGAGCAGTAGAATGCATTTTAGGAAAGCGCATCATCTGATACGAAAGGCTTCACGAAGTTTGCGGGACCTCAGGGTCAAGCGCCGCCGCAGACTTGCTCGCCAATCTGGGCGAGATCCACGAGAAGCAAGGAGTCAATCCACTCTTTGTCATCTTGAAGCTTCAGTTCTGACATACCACAGGAGCTTCTGGTAAGTTAGGCTTAGAAGCCATTTGAGACGCATTTGTGACCCCGGGAATTGAAAGTCCAAGGCAAAACTGGGTCATATCCACCTAGCGTCTGTTCTGCGGGCTTTGCCTGCCAACGAGGAGATCTCGATGCTGCATCCGAGCTGTATGAGTTTCCTAACTGCAGAGGTGCTGTCATTTGCACGGATGTGCGGGTTTCAGCTTCCTGCAGTTTTTTGGCTGACATGAGCCTGGAGAGGGTGCAGCTTGCGATGCCCCGCCTGCTTTTGCCCGTTTCTGCATTTGTTGAAGCCTAATGTCTTCACACCGCGCTTTCGGGGGTTCTCGTTTGAATGTTTGCCGGTGCCGGCTGTCGATGCTACAAGGCGAGTTGCACATTGTCGCACAGTCACTTCCAGTGACTGGAGATTACACGCCTCTGGCTGCTCTTGACTTAGGCGAGCCTCCCTGGCCTTCGCAGCAGCTTTGGCGCCGGTCCCTTTGGATTATGCAGCCCTCAAGCGACGCCAGGGATCCTTGGATGTGTGGCATGGGTGTACAAAGCCATGCAAGCACAGGTGTCGCTTGTGTTTGGTTGCTTAGGGGGCTATATGGGGCTATCCTCGGTTAAGTGTTTTTTCTCGCTAGGCGTGCGTGCCTAGTCAAACTGCTAGCCCCCTGTGGATTCTCCCTGTGCATGCTTCGCTGTTGGAAGAGGCAGACCTTGCCGGGATTCTTGCCTTGCGATGCTTCGGGGAATTTTCTTGGTGCTTTGGTTGTCCACTTGGGTCGGTAACGAAGCACTGCAACTTTGATTGCTGACAGGGAAACACTCCATGGTGTTTGTTGCAACCAACCTGCCTGATTGAATGTTCTCCTTGTCTTCTGCATGGACGCATAGACATTGAGTGCATGACTCAACCAGGACGACTCCTGGGTGTCCGAGGCGCGTTCGGACATGGGGGGTGTGGCACGGTTTCCAGCATGCATCTTTTGGTTCACAATCTAGAGAGACGCAATGAATCAAGGATTCATGCAAGGGGCGGCGACAGGCTCAAGTTTCAAGATCTTGCTTAGCACCCATGCTTCAGTTCTGGTTTGGCAGCCTGTACATCAAACCTGGAACGGCGTCATAGCCTTGTTCGAAGTATGTCAGGTGGTCGCTGAGCGGTTGCTCGCCAGATGTTTTCGGAACCCAATAGTGAACCCTCAGCTACTGTCCGCCCTACACTCAACACCAAGGACATCCCAGGGGCAACATTGGTTTTTCGTAGCCAACAGACACAAGATCTCTAGCACAGTCACCGGGAGGATGCCAGGCCTCTTCATTTGATAGACTTAGCAGCTCATATAAGTGTTTACTAGCCTTGTCAGGGTTTGCAGGCGGTATGGTGAGATCCTGGCAGGTGACCTGGAGGGCAAACTACAGCTTTACGAGGAGGCGGCGAAAGCTACATGAAGGAACCAGCAACAAAGAAGCACCATGGTTAGAACGCAAATTCTAGGACCTCTGCAGGCAGCAATCCTGAGGTGAAATTGATAAAGTAGAGTTTCGAGACTTGAGGTTTCGTCGCCTGGCTTGCAGTTTGGGACTGGCTTGCAGCGTGCAGCTAGTGCTCACCCGCAGGGTGCGGCTGCAAGCTGACTTCCCAGATGTCATGACGTTTCACTAGCGTCACTGGCATCCAAGACTTGTAGGATACACGCTGTTCCTGAAGACAGGCGCTGCGGATCTGCCAGTTGGCCAATGCATTGGAGTCCACCGAAGGCCTGTTTTGCCATGCTTCTCCATATACCTTCACGTAGTGAGGGAGTACGTGTAAGGGGGCAACCGTGGCAGCACAAACAAGTGACGTGATTTTGACTTTGCTCATTTTGTCACAAGGCGGGCGAGCTATGCTGTTCCATCCCTGCTGGGGCTGTCATGTGGTTTGTATTTGCTTCATTTGCAAAAGCATTCGGCTTGCCTTTTTCGTGTGAAAACATTTCACATTAGATCAGTTCCCTGCGTGACCACGTGAAGTCAGTTGTTTGATGTAAGCAGCTGGTCTGAAGCTGAAAATGCAAACCATTGCAGAGAAGAGAGGCATTCCATTTCAGACGAGCAGTCGCCATCACCGCAGATGCATGACTTCCAAGCTCTCACACTGGTTTGAGTTTTCAGCTCCGGACATCCTTGCAAGAAGGAAAATGAGCTGTTCAGGCAGCTGTTAATCGGTTGCAGGAAGAATGGAGATTGGATCGACGTAGGGCAGCATATGTGCTTACTGGTTTTCTGCCAAACACGATTGCCAAAAGTTGCTCGGCAGAGCCTTGCACTGCAGGTTGCCCAAGTGTGAACTAGGCCCTTCATCTTTCACGGAAGCAGCCCCTTTCACACATTCCTGTTCAAGTGCTTTGAGCTTTACTGCAGCTGATGCTCTTATCGCAGGAACTGTGCTCCTGTCAAGCATTGGGGCTGCCAGGCGGCAGGTGGGCTTGTGCACGCAGGGGCAGATGCATTGGTACTGTGAGATTCAAAGTTTGTGCCCAGCGCAGCGCAAAGCGGCCCGCATTCTGCTATGCGTCTTACAGCACCCTTAAACGTCTTGGGCCAATTGGGGTAAAACAGCCAGCCTACTGATGCCGTCCTCGTTTGCTTCGCGATGTCCTACAAGTATGTACAAGTTGTGCAGGCAGGTGACATGGAGGCCGCCGTCCAAGCGTATGAGGAGGCCCTGCATATCCACGAGCCACGTGACCGCAACACCAGAGCTAGCAGCACACTGGCAGCTTTGCTGACTTGCTGGCACTTCTTGGCTTTTCAGCTCAGAAGCCTTTTTTTTCTTTAAGACAGCTTGAGGCCCTGGAAGCAATGCTACAACTTCAGCATGCGCTAGCAATGAAAAGTCTTTCGAAGCCAAGGCACCTGAAGACCTTGGAGTCGCCTGAGGGTGCCACGTGCCCATCACGCACAAAGCCATTTTCTTTGTCAGATCTCCTAATCTGAGCTTGAGGTGACATCTAGGAATCCAGGACGCTCTGTTCTTCGAAAGCAACAGACAGAGGGTAGGATATGGGTCCTTCTAAGGGTCGTGTGTAGCATCGGCTGCATTTATGGCTGAGGCTTCTCTCGAACATTGGCGTTGCGCGCCTTCGGCAACGCAAGAAGAAAGCTGCGAAACAGGCCTGCGCCCCCCCCCCTCCCCGCCTCCCGTTTTCAACTAGAAACTTTGCACGAATCCCATAACAAGCATTCAGAACGATTGTGTAGCGTGATGTTCAGGATATAGTGGTGTTCGTTGGTGATGCATGTTGTTGTTCTGCTCAAGGTGGAAATCGCATTCCCAAGAAAAACCTTCCTGAGAGATTAGCAACAACTGATAACCAAAGTCCAGGCTTTCGAGCGAGCACTTTCGATTCGAGCTGCCTGGCCATCATGTTTCGCGTTTGGTGCAGATGTAGGGCTAAGAGAGTTTTTGGAGTGGGCCGATGGCTTCCATGGCCACTGTGGCCCACTGAAGGAGAAGACCGGCACGTTGGAGACATCCGCCGGAGCCACCCTGCTCACAAACATTGCAGACGTGCAGGACATTGAAAGGTGTACAGCTGAGCGCTCAACATCCTGCAAAATTCTGCTGAACGCAATGCCAAGGATCCTTATGACCAATGATTGTGCCTGGAAGGAACTTTTTGGTGATGTCGAGGGTGAGCTCAGGCGCTGTTGGGTCGACCTTTGCAGAAACTGTGCATGTGGATAGCATTCTGCATGCAATGCTGGTAGAGTCCCCACCATGGGGAACATGTAGTAATGTGTAAGACACGAGGAATTCGTCTTACCCGGCTCTAAGAAAGCACTACTCACGCGTGGTGTTGGCCAGAAACTGTTGAAGACGCACGTGATTTAACCTGCTCTTGCTCTTCTTGCAAAGACCTTCTGTCCAAAGCTGCCAAACCTACTCCGCTTGGTGCAGGTTGTATCTACAGGCCAGAGACATTCGCGAGAAGACGCTCGCCTGTTGCTTAAACAGATGTATGAGAGGTTGTTGGGCCAAGGCGCGCAAGGGAAGAGCTCTCCAAATATGTCCCTGCATGAGCTACTTGCAGATGCGTTTTGTATTGAGTCATTCAGCTTGAAGATCTGCATGTCTTCAGACTTATCACGTTAAAGCGAACGTTGAGAGGCTGGATAAGGGACCTGTTTACTTGGGAATCCGGAAGGAATTCGCACTTTTCTGATGAACAAGCCTAAGCCTAAGCAACCATGCTTTCGATGCTGGACGTCCCTTTGGGCACCATACAGCTCCCAGATTTCGGAAAGCAGACCACCAGTTTGAAAGTCTTCACCCTGATGCAAGCTGCGTCATGGCATCGCATACTGCTGGTGGATGCTATGCCAGTCTATACTTTATCAACTAAAATTTCCTGAAACCCATCAGAGCCCTACAGGCTTGTGCAACTGATCCTGAAAGATGTTGGACGTCTTGAAGCGAAAGCAAGGTCAATTGCTTTTTTGCACAGGGCCACAACAAGCAATCGGAATGCCGCAGGGCACAAATTCCAAGGACTGGTACCTTGGATTCCTCTGCCGGCGCAGTGGTGTTGTACCTGCCCAAAATTTGGTCCTTTTTTAGGAGTGTCTGTTGGTGTATGCATTCCCCAGACCAACATGGAAGCCAAGAAGGGTCTGTCCTCTGAAGACCGGACCGTGTCAGCTTCCATGTTTGTTTGGCGAGGGTATGGTTCCGGGTGCAGTTCTCCTTCTACACCAGTTCAAGCAGTAGGACCTTGCCTCGGGGGTTTCCATAAATAGGGGCTAAACGCATGGCGCTGGATTTGCTTTTGGGCGCCATCCCTGAAGTACGAAATATATTGTCTTCTCCTTCTTAGATTGGTGAGGTCAACGCTTCTGGCTTTTTTAGAGGGTGATACTACTGCTTTTTTCTCCTTTTACGGAGAAGAGGACTTCCCAGCACGCTTGCAGCAAAGCACGGGTGCAACAAAAGTCCGCGTCAGCAGACTATGCTCCTGGTTCTCGGGTCTAATTCCTGGAGCCTTCATTTGGAGATGACTAGCGGCTGGAGTTGGAAGCTGGCGCTAGCTGATGCGATGCCTTCTCAGACAGCATGCGAACCCAAAGCCAACACTAAGCCGTGTGAATAGTCCCCGGAGGTTGTCTACGCTACTCATGATGCTGGTAGTGGTTCGTTATCCCAATGCGGTAGATACCTGATGTGCTGTTGTGCAAAAGCTAAAAGCGGTCATGAACCAAGTATAGCTTGCTAGACGTGTTTGTGGACATTGTAGTCTTTTTTATGCCGCCAAGACTTTTGTGGTTGGAATTGGGTTACAAAAACTGGAAAGACGGATGTAAGTCAAATTGAGCCCAGGTCGCACATTGCGGGCATCTACTCCAAGCGAGGACTGGGGTGCTTTCAGATTTGCTGCTGGGATATACTGTCAGATGCCAACTGCGATATCTGTCAGCATAAGTCTCTAAGTTATAGGATGCTAGAGTCAAGATGGGAGTGTCCGATTCAACTATTGCGAATGCCTTCCTTTTTGGCCGGAGGAGTTCTCAAGCCATGTGGTCTTCTGCCGTGTATGCTTATCTCGGGCACCACGCAGGAGACACTGCAGAAGCTCTTTCCTGGTTCGCACGTGCTCGTGAGGCACGCGAGAAGTCCGAGACCCTGGCAGCCTGGCAGCAAGGACTTAACTCACCTGAGCGAGTTTGTGAACAGGAGGATCTCCTCAGAGTCTAGGTCCGGGGTTCCATCGCTTTTGATTGAGGCACCTACCTCCAGCCGTCAGATCTTCTGATTGCCGGTGCAGCACACCTCACAGTGAGCTAGAGCTTTGCCTTTGCATGGTGCAGTGCGCTTTGTAGAAGATCAATCAAGCAGCCTCAAGATTCAGGCTTACACAGGGCACTGGAAAGTGAAGAAATCTAGATTGAGGTCCGATGAATTTGGCATAGATCTGTTCTCCGGAGCAGTGCTGGGCTAGAACCACCCCCTGCCCCTGCACACACGCACAGTTTCTAGGTCATGCAGAGTAGCAACGACCCGGACGCATGCCACATGTGATGCAGTCGGAAGTTGCAGCAATGTTCTATGAAAGGGCCCTTGCCTTGTGCAAGTCCAGGAAACCGATGCTGGCGCAAAGCTGCTGGCCAAAACAGCAGAGCTGCTGGGCCGCGAGGTGCGCGTGCTGTGGCGCATGTAAATTGGCACTTCAAGGGCTGGGCAGGGCACTCATGGTGCTCTGTGCCCTTACAGTGACAACTTGCGCAAGCATTACTTGTAACGTGAACTTCACATCCTTGCAAACAAGGGTTGGGGCTACAATGAGAGTGCAAGTCAATTGTCCAGGAACCCCTTGTTTCGAGCTTAGACTGCTGCGGGATACTTCCGACTGAAGGCCACATGGATTCGATTGAGAATTTGGGTTGCCGCTGGCCGCCCAGGGGGCCCAGAGAAGCAGGATGCGAAGCGTCGCCGAGCAGAATGCAGAAGCGAAGGCAGCAAACATATCCTTTGAAAACTCCACAAAGGGCGCATCTCGGCCAGGGCGTGAGGTTCAAAAAAAGAGTTCAAGCTCTTGGGCCTCTAGGGGTCGGGGCTTTGCAGCCAGGACCGCAGCGCGGCGGCTGCTCTTCTGGAGGAGGCCTGGCAGATCCGTGTGCGCTCTGAGAACCTTGGATGGTTAACGAATGGGTTGACAAGGAACTGCATTCCCTCGTCAATTAATCCTGCAAAGGCAGGTCTTGGGACTCTTGGGACTTTGGTTTCTTGATTTGAGCATTTGTGAGCCCAAGTCTTAGACTTCACCTCCAGTAGTTTTAAATGATTGCGCTCCACTTCAACTGTTTTTTGGTGTTGTGGCACGTGCTTCTATTTATATAAGAGAAACCCGCCACAGTTTCATCCGTTCCTGCTTTGCGGTTGAAAACTTGATGGCTGAGGACCCTACACTCGGAATCTGGAAGCTCGGTTCGGCAAGCAGCCTTGATTACCATTTCACGCCTTTTTCTTGACTCAAACCAGCAGCTGACTTTAGCTCCAAAAGACTGTCAGCTTCCAAGGCTTAAAGCTGTTGAGCTCTCTGTGCAGCACTCGCGCGGATCTCCACGAACACGATGCAGCCGAAGAGGTTTCTGGGATGTGTCGCAGAGTTGGGAGATGGTGGTTGATATCGCATGCCGTTGCCTCTGGTAGGTCTGGATGGCAGCGAAGGATGTGGTGGAGGCCATGGGCGACTTCTCGAGGATGCCTGGAGTCAGGCGCAGGGCGCAGTTCACACGTTTCCTCTATTGCGGGTCTGACTTGACCTGCTCAAGCAAGACAACTCTAGTAAACAATGTTTGTGCAGCGCAGCATGCCGCAAGGGGGGTACAGTAATAGTGAGAATGCTGCACATGATATTCGAAACACGTCCATCGATTCGCAGGATCTAGTGGGGTCGCAGGACCAATTGAATAGCCCGCGGCTTGCTGCACTTCAAGGGCAGCAACGGAATGGATGAGAGTTGACCGTCCTATGATTGCCGCCCGCGACAATTCCTCGTCCTCTCTGGTTGCTTGCCGCGGCCGCTTGATGCTCAAAGGGGAGTGCTTAGAAGGCGAAGCTGCCACCCTCTTCCGGCTACGTGGCTCTGTTTCAAGAGAGGATGTATGCAACGAATTCCGTGCTAGTAGGACCCATGGTGCCAGTACGACACCCGCAGAATCATTGAGCAAGCAGTAGACTGCGCTGCAACAACACGCCCAAGGATGAGCGTACAAGTCACTGCAGTGACTACACCAGCAGGCACACTAGCATTTGACAGGCCTGACGAGGCTCCACGCCTGGGGCTGGTTGGAAAGAATGAAATCTCAGCCATGCGGATGAACTGTAAAACGCAGATCTTGTCATGGGTGTTTGTAGAAGGCTTACTTCCGGAAGTCTTACGGATCTAGGAGCTTCTGACTCGTTTCCTTCACACCCATCCTGAGCGCTGAGGCGAGCTGGCTTATGTCGGCTGCGGTCAGGCCTGCAGGGGCCGTGGCCATGCCGGAGGAACTGAAGCAGAGGCGGCACATGGGATGGGTTCCATGTGCCTGTGCCTTTGCCTTTCAGAGGGCATCGGGGTGCATGCAGGTAGCAGATGCGGTTGGAGCTTGGTCATTAATATGCTAAGAAAAGTAGTGACGCTAGAGCTGGTGCCAAGCTGGTATGGCTTGTTTCGTAAAATTGTGGGGGCAGATAGGGTGCGGCAATGAAGTGTGCTATGGCTACGCCGTTCTTGCCTGTTCTTTTTGGCCTGTACGGAACGAGGTAGATTTCCAGGTGAAATGCGATGATAAGAAACGTTGGGGCACGGAGTCATGTTATCAGCCTCACCCTGGCTTTTTGTAATGGCTGGATCAGCCTTCGCTCTTGTCTGGCCTCAAGGTCCCCAAGCCTCAAGCTGCACTGTCTTGTCAGACTCAGGACCACTGTACAGACATGCTTGGAAGAAATGCAGCCTTTTTTTGCTACATTCTGCCACCGCCCGGTCTTCTGCCCCCCTGTAAACTGAACAACTTGTACAGCTTGAAGCGAAAATCATCCGAAGCTTCCGACTGATCTAGATCGCCAGCATTCAAGCGTCCAGAAACAGGGCTGATGCTCCACTGGGTCGTCTCTGCCACTCTGACCCGGCTCGTTGGTTCAGCGTTTGGGGATCCTTCGCTCAACTGGAGAAGAGGGGCGATTGTTCTAGACTTTCTTGAAGGGCTTTTGGAGGGCAGTTGGGAATCTTTCGGGCAAGATGAACGTGCTGACAGTCGCCGTGTAGGCCTTGAGAGCTGACAAGGCCGTACTGTGACTGTGACACCTGGCGAGTCGGTCAGAGGATGCCTCGTGTGCCAACGCATTTCAGGACGCACTTCAAGGAATTCGGTGGCAGAAAGATGAGATTGGAACCGAAACACGGAAGGTCAAACTCCTCACGTCTCAAGTTTGGGGTCCTCTCAGCCGTGACAGTTTTCCAAGGAAGTGAAGTGGTTCCGCGCGTTTCCGTCGCCGGTGGCGTTATCGGCTTGATCTTAGTGCGGCTCGGCTCGCTGACTGGCTTCCCCTGGGCGATCATAGGGGTAGATCTACATCTAGGGGTTGTATAGCGGTTAGTATCCAGAAGCAAACAACTTGTGGTCATGCGCGCTTCGATGCGGCATTGGCTTAGGGTTTAGGGTCAATTGTTGGGTTGTTGTATGTTCTTGTGACTCGCAAGGAACTCCACGATGCCGCAGGTGGTGCGGACCTCGGATGGGCTGACGCTTGGAGAACAAACAGGAAGCCTGGAAGAGCCATGCTTTTGGCACGAAGAATCACAAAGAGTAATGCATAAGCACCGCCAGCAACCCCCAGCCCTGAGAGACTGTCTTTCAACAGTTGATGTTCCTTTTCATGCTTGTCCTGGTCCCTGGGACAGCCTCTGAGGATGCCACAGCTCTCGCGAGCAATGTGGATCCGTACCTTTGGTTGCAGCTTCTACCTTCAGCAATGCTAAGCGCAGCTCAGGATCGGCTGTCCCACATGCTGTGCGCAATGTGCACGGCCACTTTCTGATGCTTGTAACAAGCTTCGCCACAGCCCGAACATGCTGAAAGCCTCTGCCGTGTGCTACATGCACCAACCTCTGACGATCCAACCGCATGCAAGCAGGAGGCAACCCCGAAAGATCATTAACCAAGCTGTCCTTGTTTAGAGAAGTCGCCAAGGCATGTGCTTTCGGATCACGCCGCTGGCAGGCGGTTTAAAAGCCGCGCAGTATGCGGTCATGCGCGAGAAGCTAGGCAATGACTTGCTGGAAGACCGCAGCTCATGCAGCGGATTCTGTCATTGGATGTTTGTGCCGGGGTAGCTTGGGGCACTGGCCGGCACACAGCAAATCCCAAAGTTTCACTGCAAGGATGCTTACCATCTCCCAGGCCTCTGCCAATTTTCCTGCTTTTGCTTCTCAGCTGCTCACCCGTTGTGGTTCCATTGGCCCCCCCCCCCCCCGAAGGGGACGGGTCCGGCCCATTAATATCAACAAATAACAATGTCGGTATTATGGTGAATCTGCTTGTGTTGCTGCAAATGTTCTTGTCTATGTCAATGCAATGATATTTCGTCCAACTTCTGAGTATGGAGCAGAGGGGGGTCGGAGGCACGCACCCTTCCCTGATTTCCCATGTAAAGATTGGCCCGATGAGAGAAGAGCAAAGCTCACGTGGCTTGGATCCGAGCCTTCCTACTTCCTTCTGTCCATCGTTAGTGTCGCCCCCTTCGTTGGTGTCATCCGATTCGTTGCCAGAGGATGGACAGTGATAAGAACAACAAAGAAGGGTTCTGTACAGCAGCTGCCACATGTGGTGTGCAAGGATGAAGCTGGCCCTGGATCAGGCCTCGGACCGCATTTTGGGGGTTGTATGCCTGCTGCTGGGTTGGGTAGGTCATGGCTTTGGTCCACAAGTCTTATCATGAACAAGTCTGGCCAGGGCAGACAAGTTGTCATCTTCAGCATCTCACTGCAGGGTCTCCGTCCTTGTTGATGTAAGGCCCAGGCACATTGCAGGAACGTTGAAGGAACATGCAAGGCCAGGACATCCAAAAGAGTTCCATAAGCCTAGTCCCTCTGTTACTTGCCAGTGCAAACAGCGAATTCAAGGTTTGCCATCCAGCCGTGTCTACAATGCTGGCTTTTGGCGTGATTGGCACCGGCAGCTCTGCTGGAATCAGATTTGGATGACCGGCTAAGCTTCGCAGGGTCATGCAGGCAGGACACAAGATGTTGTGTAGTCACAGCGGGCAGAAAACACCTTAGGTATACCCTAAAGAAAAGCCGCCTGGCTACCCATACTGGCTTGCGCTCAAGTTCGAGACTGCAGAGCATTTCTTGCATTGAAATCCTAGTCTGACAGCTTTGTGGCCTGGAATCCTGGAGTTGAATCCCAGGCCTTCAAGCTTCTGCCTCTGAGGATTCCAGTCGGTCATTTACAACACCCTCATTTCTGAGATGTACAAGATCTACACCGGGAAGGTCGTAAGCGCATGCAAGCGCCGCATAGTCAAGCTCTGGTGCTTTTCTTGTCACGCACGTCTCCAATTCCAAGCCAGTAAGGGCGAGAAAGGGCTGAAGAGCCTTGCTTCTGAGTCCTTGATATGTTGTTGTTACCAGCGCGACTCAGCATGGGCTGTTTCGTCAAAGCCCTCATGATGTCAGCAACTAGCACAGTTGCTCTGATGGTTTGGACAGGCAAAGACTGTGACGATGGGCGAGTTGGCACGCGGCATTCAGCCAGGTGGCTTGGCAAAATCATTCAGATGGAAGCCAAACAGCCTCCTGGGCAAAGTGTCGTTTGCAAACAGAACCAAAGGAGCTCGCAAACGAGTGAATGTTCCCAGCTGAGTAGGCAACTGCAAGCATGTTAATTATTACTTGAGCTGCAGACCTAAGCAAGTCAAAGCCACAACTGGTGTCTTCCAATATCACACGACGATCTCCGTGTGTGTCACCGCGATGACTAGCTTTAGGCATTGTTTGGTGCTTCGGCCGGGAGTCCGTTGCGATGGGTGCCGGACTGTCTCCCTGCGGCAGCTAATGCTTTGAGAACAGTTCACGTTTTGGGCAGTGTTTGTTGCCTGCCTTTGTAAGTCTAGAACCGAGTTAGCAGAGCCTTGCAGGGGCTCTAAGCTCATCACAGTGCCTTCGCCGCAAGTAAAACACAAGCGTCCATGAATGGCTGAAAAGACGTCTTGTTCTGTAAGACTTCTGCATCTTGCCTTGTTCTGTAAGACTTCTGCATCTTGTGAAGCTCTTCGAACAGCAGGTATTTGGGCCCTGTCGTCAAAGAAAAGCTTGCCGCCTCCCTCAGAGACGAGAACGGAGACCATCGCTGCTGTTCTTGAGTTGGAGAGATATTTTGTTGGGCGTTTGCGGGCATCGCAGGAGAAGCAGGCAACATTCCCTAACATGCCATGCACATGCATGTCTGTCATGAGAGGTCAACGAGAAGATTTGCAGACTGAGGGTGTTGTTGCATGTCCCGTCATCAAGCCTATCTCAAGATAAGCTGTCCCTGCCCAGCAGTCATTGAGCAAAGTGCTATGCATCCATGGAGGAGGTGCAGAAGTGAAGTGGTCCATGGCTTGTCAAGTGTTTCAAATAGAATCCGGACTGCAGCTGGCAGCGCAGCTTTAGCCGCTAGCTCCGTTCCTTCAAAGCATAGTTGTGGACCCTTGCCACCTGCAACTCAGGCATAGCTGGTGTAAACCTACCCGAGGCTCGCTAGAGCTGTGCGACACTGAATTGCTGGGACGTCTGGGACGTTCGATGCTTGGATAGACCTCTCAGCATGCTAAAGCTGTCCGAACGGGTGGGGGAATTGGCGTGCTGGAAAGAAGTACCCGAGTCATCTCGTGGGCCCGTCTTCCGTAGCAGTCCTATACTACATCTGCACAGGTTTCTCAGAACTTCCCCCATTTGTCAGTCCAAGATCTCAAGCTCTGCGGCAGGGAGCAATGCGGTTCGGCTCGGGGTTCTTATCGGGCGCCTGCACAGCCTTTGGAACACAGCGGCCCGGCCCGAGAAGTTCGGAATTCAGTTGTGGTCCGGCCGGTCCGGCTTCAGGGCCTCCAAGCCGGACCACGACCTCCTCACGACCTATGTTGCTGTCGATGTAAGATACAGAAGCTGGCATTTCGGCTGGGAAGAGGAGACGAATTTGGGTTCGTGCAGGCCAGACGGGCTCGTGACATGTCATCAAAGCGTTGGCAGTAGAACCTTTTCACACAAAGCAGGGTCTTGGAACAATGCCAGAACTTGGTGTTGTATGATTAGAAGGTGATGTGAGACCTGGTCCTGAAAATTACAGCCTTGAACCTAGGTGGATGCACAACGTCTCGCTCTTCGCAGGACTGGAACATGTGCTTCACTGTATGCTTAAGCCGCACAGGTACTCTCCAGATATCTGAGGTGTATGTGCCTCTATAAATTGAAGCAGGCAGTGTGAGGGAAAGAGCATGTATGCAGACAACGCCCCTGCATGAGATCTTCTGAGTGCTCAGCTGTGTTGTGTAGCTGGTCGTCCAGTTTCTGGCCAGGCCGTGATGCAAACTGAACTTGCTGGCGCCTGCAAATGCTGAGCTTCCAAGCCTCAAACAAGACCACCGCATATCACCAAGCACATTAAGTCTGCCATGCGCGGGCTGTTAGCTGTCGAATGACATTGATGGATTGACTCTGAGACAATCTCAACGCCCACAGTGGTCGTGGATCTGTTTCATCAGCGCAGCCCAGATCGAAGCAAAGCCTGCTAGTTTGCTCTACCGAATACTGCGGGTCCGTCGTCAATATACACTTGCTGGCGGTGCTGACTCCAGTGCTTCGAGGAGGTACTTCACTCAATCCCACACTCTCGAATTTGCAGCTTCCAGTTGAGAACTACGGCTTATCTCGAGCACCTCCCTTTTTTGAAGGACGGCTTGCGGCCACTGGGGAGCCCAGAGGAGCGCCCTACTACACGACAGAGGCCTGGCGGACTGCCTACAAGGCGCTGGCTGGGGTTGTGTTTGCCTGTGGGGACTTTTCGGTTTTCAGGGTTGTTGGGCAAAGGTCCTCTGGGTTACCGCTGTGCCGCGCAGAACACCTTGTTGATCATGTTGATCATGTTGATCAGGAAGCGGCAAGCCGCAAGAGTTCCAGAGACATGCCACAGATGGGAATCAGTTACCCGCACGGGATCCTTAGGGTCCTTCCTGCTACTCCAACAGGCTTCAATTGTATCCTCAGGGTTTCAGGGCATCGATCTTGCGAAGGGAGCCGCTGACAAGTACATTTTTACATGTTTTTGGCTAGAAAATGCCAGGGTCGTAGCCTTCCGAGCATGCTGCATTGTTGGCAAGAGCCAGGGCAACCAAGCACGTCCTTTCTCGGCGGAGCCCAGCATCTACTTGGTTCACTTGAGGAGCTGGGCATGTCCGTGTTCTACATGAACTACCCTCATCGGATGTGCCTCATTGCAGGGGCTGTTGCTTGACTGCAAGCGGAGGTCATCAGCATATGGCATGCAATGCATTGCATTGTGCTCCAACCTCAGCTTGGACTTGCAACCCAGATGTCTTTGCTGATGCCTTGGAGTGCTGGATGTAGACCAATGAAATCTACGGTGCCGCTCTGCCAGGGTGTTGGCACAGCACCACTAGCAGTCACATCAGTCACTAGCAGGTGCAGTTGGATTGGCGTTCATGCCAGGCTGCAGCTGCCCAACCACTAGACCCTACTCCCTATCCACCTGATGCAGCCGTGCTGGCGCGGTAGTGAAATGAATTTCATCCTTGCCCTTCAATCCAAGCTGCAAGCCTGCAAGCGCAAAATCTTGCATCTGGCAAATCGGGGCTGTTCCGAAGAGCTTTGCCATGTGAACATTTTTGTGAGATGTTAGGAGATACCTGGGAGTGGGTCCAAACTCTGCAAATCCAAACCCGGACGCTGCAAGGTTGCCCTGCTCAACTTTGTTGACATCTTTCATCGCCGCGAGCTGCGCATGTTTTAGGAAAGAGGAGAAGTGCGGCCTAGCCTGCCCTGCTAGATTTCACTTTGTCATCACAGCCAAACTTCCTTGCACATCTTTCACGTTTGCTTTGAAGTCTCAGCATGTAAGGTAGCCATCTGACCGTTTAGAGCCTTCAGTTGTAGCGGGCAGTCAGTTTTTGGGGTGGGGGAATTTCAGCCTGTGAGCAGAAGTCTGCCTCTTGTTGTTGCTGTGATCATCTGCAAGTTCCTGAGGGGTGCGTGGCCGGTGTTTTTCCTCTACAGGCTCATCACAGAGCCACAATCCACTTTTTCCGCTTTTGTCCAGATCACAAAGAGCCGGACAATGATCTCAGGCACAGGCACACAAGCCTACCTGTTGGCCAGTCAGTTGGAGACGCCAGGCATGTGCCTGGAGCGCTGAGCTTACGTGTTGACTGTAGTGTAGTTCCATTCTTCAGTGTCAAGTTGTATCTCTTGGAAGATCAGCCTCCGAATTATCCCTTACGCAGTGAGAATGCAAGAGTTCCTCCCCATTACCTTCAAGACTCTAAGCTGTCAAACGGCCGCAATCCTGAACCGTCAGCGTCACGTCACCACTGCCAGTGCCAGTTTGGTGCAGCGGAGGAGCTGGATGCTCTTGTGTAATTGACCAAAAAGTATTCGGGATAATGTTTTAGACGCTGCAATACACCTGTCCTCACTGGTTGGCCTGGGCAAGGTAAGTGGAATACTCTTGTACTCTGCATGCAACCACGTTTGAGGCATAGACTTACTCGCGCAGCGCCGGTGCGCGGACTCTAGAATTTTTGCAGCTGGAGTTCGCAGGCTTTTGAGGGGCTTTTTCTGTTCTGGGGTATATGCCCTGGGAGGTGGGACTTTCGCGGTGTTGGACAGCTGTGGGGTTGCCTGCCTGTGGTGTCAGCACTGCATGAGCCATAACAAAATTAGCATGTTTTGGGCTGATAAGTCCAACCAAGGGGCAAGAACTAGCAGATCGCCTCGGCTTGTTTCTGCTCCTCCGAGTGCGGATTGCACACGCAGCGGCCAAGCGGGACGGGCTGCCCTGAACGAAGAGCCAAACCTACTCCACTGCGGTAGCGAAGCCCTTCCCGGAGTCGAAGCTCCCACAGGAAAGCCGCGCAAAAAGGGCCGTGCGCTTTGCATAACGGCAGCTATAGTGGTTCTCAAGATCTTGGGCCAGGGCACTGGACTCTGACAAAGCTTGCTCTTGAGCTTACTCTTGCTTCGGAACATCTCTGCCTAAAGCGAAATCGATCGTGCAAACAGCTAGCGAGCGAACTACAACAAGTTCAAAAGGTGGCCCCTGATGTTTTGGAGGCTCCTTGAGCTACATGGGGACCTCAAGCGGCTTCGTGGGGACCCACAGGGCGCTTGCGAGGCAGCCAGAGGGCATTTGAGGGTATACAGGTAGCAGCTTCCTGGTACAAGTATATAAGCTTTACTCATATACATATAATCATAGTAAGGTCAATTTGGGAATTGTACAGAGATCATTCGAACGAAGCGCATTGAAATAAGCCACATAGCCACTGTGGCTCAGTGGGCTGCTTGTGCCAGTTCAGTATTGGCTTCGAAACATGGAAGCACCACTTGCCTTTGACATGCCAGCGTCACCTGAGCACGTGGATACTAGCGAGGATGCCGCTGTGTCTGCCCTGTTTGCCGATGTGGCCACTGGTGCTGAAGAAGGTGAAGGTAGCGAGGATGAGAGAAGTCATGAGGATGAAGCGGTCCCACACATGCTCTATGATCTCACGGAGGAGCAGCCGAATAACGTCGCCACCGCTGCTGCCGAAGGTCGTCGCCGGTGGCCAGCCTTCGCAGCCTATTTTGAGGAGCAGGGGATTGCCAGCCCAGCTGCATTGGAGGCCGCACTGGCTGCAATGGCGCGTCCAGGAGCGCCTTTTCAATGCAGATTTGCACAGTCACCGACAGCAACAACATCTCTGGCGCGGCTGCGCGCTGTACTACCGAATTTGGCACCAGTGCCCTGGGCACCGAACGCTTTCCGGGTGGTGCCTGGCCAGCCTGGCCATTACAATTCCAAGGCCTCTCCCAAGGAAATCGGCCTTTGCGTGATCAGGCTGATGAAAGAGGGCGATCTTTGCCTTCAGGATGTCAGTAGTATGTTGCCAGTCCTCGCGATGAAGCCTCTAGCACCAGATATGGCCTGCTTGGATATGTGTGCTGCTCCTGGCTCAAAGGCCATGCAGCTGCTTGATGCCCTTACTTCAGCTCCGGGGAAGAACCGAGGTGGATTTCTAGTCGCAAATGAGCGAAGCGAGAAACGTGCACGGAGATTGCTGTCGCGAGCGCGTTGGTCCCCTACATTGGCGCGTGCCATGCTGGTCTGTTGCACAGATGCGGCGATTTTCCCTGCCTTGCGCATTGCAGGAATGCGGGGTGCATTCCCCAAGCTGCGGTATGACCGTGTGATCTGCGATGTGCCTTGCTCTGGCGATGGCCAGCTGCGCAAGACACAGGATAACTTCGAAGTTAGTCGGGGCTTGGCTCTACACCCACTGCAGCTCCGGATCCTCCGTCGTGGTTTACAGCTCCTGGCGCCAGGTGGTCAGCTTGTTTATAGCACATGCTCGCTGAATCCAATCGAAGACGAAGCTGTTGTTGCTGCAGCCTTGGTCGAAGCCGCAGACTGCGAGATTATGCCATTACCAGCGCGACTCCTCGAGGAGGATGTTGGATTGCATCCTGGCATTTCATTCTGGGTGGTACCTGGGTCGCCCACACCCCAAGCAGAAGGCTATGCCGAGCATACCAGCTCAACCGCATTCCGGCCTGGAGTTGACTTGCCTACCATGCGGCCGCCACCTGCTAGCTCGCCTGTGTCCCTGCAGTTGAAGCATTGTCGCCGTGCTTTGCCAACATACGCAGGTGGATCTGGCTTCTTTCTTTGTGTCATCGAGCGCAGACAGAAACCCATGCGGCCCCTACGCGAGCATGGCGTCGGAGGAGAGGAGGGAGAGGAGGACAGTGCCGACGAGGAGAAGGAGGATGCAGCTCGGTTGGCGTGGTTCGGCGATAAAAAGCCTAGGAAAATCTTTAAACCGATGTTTCCGGTAGCTCCCTCCGACATGACAGAGGGTGTGTGCAAATTGTTCGGCATCTCAGCCACAGATCTGCTGCAGCATGGCGTTGCTGACCAGCTCTGCATTCAAGGTTTCCGCAGGGATCGCAGGATGCTTCTTTCTGTAGCTCGCCGCCTCGGAGACATTCAGCGACATAGGCAGGCGAATGTGTTGGATGGCGGCTCGCCATTGGCAACATGCATGCCCAAGGAGTCTTGGTGGCCACGGAGGCTCTCAGCATGGCGACCATGCCATGAGGAGGCCCAGCTCCTCGCGCGACTGGCCACTCGACGTGTCTTCCCTTGCACTTCCATGTTACTGGCGGCACGGACTGCGCCCAGCAATGAGGAGGAAGGTGGTGCCATCGTCGCATCTGGAGAAGTCGCTCTCGCTGCAGTCGTGGAGGGTGGGCTGATCAAGCTGTTGGCAACCGGGGACATGCTGCACAATTGCATTGCGAGACTCGAGGATGCAACAGCTGCGCCAGCTGGGCATGCAACAACCTAACATTAATGTCGGGATTGCGGCCTTGGATCGCGGTAAGGAGCACCAAAGAGCACTCGTCTTGTGGGGCTTTAGCTTTGAATAGTTCAATGGTTGCTTCTAGTTACTCTAGTTAAGTGATATCAATTGCTGGGTCTCGCAGAAGATTTGGATGTACGACACGATGCCTTCGAGGAGGGCTACACCACACAGAGAACTACATTCCTCATACACAGCCTATCCTTGAGGCCACCTCCAAACTTTGCAACGACGGACCCAAGGTCAGCAGATCCCAACCCGAAATCATCCAAGGTCAAAAACAAATCCTGCAGCTTCTCGTGAAGATGGGAGTCCATGAAGTTCCGAGCCCACCTCCAACCAAGGGGTCCCTCTTACATACCTGCCAGTAATATAATCCTTACCGCAGGACAAGTCAGAAAGACCGTCTGAGTGCATGCGAAGAGGGAGGTGTTTTCCCAACTGTCCCCGCAGGCATGGGCCGCAGCCGCCTCAGTGCGGGCGACGCTGGGAAAGGTGGCAGAGACCATCTTGGGATATATAATAGGATTACATAGGGCTGTATAGGATTATATAGGATTATATAGGGCCATATAGGGGATTGTGGAAAGAAAACGGAAGCTACTAGGGGTTCAGATAGAGGAAGTCCCAAGTCACCACCAGGTAATGTCCCATTTTTCTATAGTATACAGCACCGGTGCTTGCATAATATGCCTACCTAGGATACCATAGCTGCTGAACTTGGAAATTGTCACAACCAAACATATTTGTTCGGTCATGAGCTGCGCAGGTCATCTAGGAGGCTTGCATTTACTGCTTTGTCCTAGTGCGACACATCTTTGATTAAGTTAAGTGCAGTGCACTCAAGCTAATCTTTCATTTGGGCAGTTCCTCCTTCCCAAATCTCCAGGCGCATGCGAAGTTCTCCATACTTTGTGCAGGTCACTGGAGCACCGGCGGCCGATCTCTACCTTAGGTCCGGCACCCTGCCAACATACATAGGGCGTATGGGTCTCAAGCCCCAGAAAGACAGCTTGTTGCAAGTCCAGATCCACCGCCGCTTCGGAAAGCTTCCCACGAGTACCATCGCGCGCTTAAATTTTGGAACCTGGCGACAGGGAGCTACCTAAGCATCTCAAACCACAGCAATGGCACAACAACCATTCCTGGACCGCCCAACGTTCAATAGGCATTCATCTCCGGGAATTGATCAAGTCAAGCGTGCTGGGTGCAGGCTTGCAGCTGTTTGCGAGGACTTAGGGGACGTGGCGCTCTCGGAAGAGTACCAGGACATTTTCTCTGGGGAACTTTTGCCACCACCCGCTATAGTAACTGTAACAGTACATCAGGAGCATTTGTCATTGGGGTCATGCCTTGGTGGGGATAAGGCGCGGTGGGCTACTCACCGCAAGGGAGTCCTGTCTATGAAGTTGGTCATTGATGTAATCACTTCTCGTTTCAGGTAGCACAGAAAGGGAGGAAGGAAGGAAGGATGAAAGGAGGGGAGCAGCCCTTCCCAACCAGTACAGGCCAACCGCAACCCACTACTCTATGCACAGCAGTACCTTCGAATATAGCCGATACGTTGTGTGGTTAGAGGGGCCCGAGAAAGTGGATCAGTTTTTTTGTTTAGCCAGTCTAGGCAAGGTTCAGCACGGGCATGGGTGAGAATCCCAGGGATGGGCCCTCGTGGTCGGCCTTATTTGCCCTCAGTGATCGCTCAAGTGCAAGCTGCGCCAGGAACAAGCTTTGCTGGCCAGGGCCAAACAAACGCCCAAGAACCAGCTCCTCTGCTCGCACGGTTTTGAGTTTTTGCTGGGCGGTAGGTCTAAGCATTCCAAATTTCTGCTTGTTTAGTTCTTGACGTCTGAACCACTTCCTGGCTGTAGATGATGGTCATTGCTGAGGAACCTGAACACTACGCAGTCATTTTGGATGTCGGAGACCTCACCCAGCTCACCGTAGCGTGAGCAGGGCGGCATGGTGGAAGCAAGCGGGGCAATGCCCAAACGTGTCCCTAGCCTTTGATCTTTAAATTGTAGCATCACGTCTGTCAAGAGCTGATCAGCTTAGGGATGTTCTTTTTCTCGCTCATAGCTTGCTTGGTATGGATTCATGCTTGCACGGCTTACAATGGGAGCTTACTCTGGTAGGGCCTATCGCTGTGTGTGACCAGCAGGTTATATTTGCAGTTTGAGTGTCCCGGACATGGTGCAAACTCAGATCTTGGTATGAGATTATTGAGCACAGTACGTATGCGATCCGATTCCATGGGCCTTACTCGAGCTAACTTTGGAGTGAAACGCCGAAGGCTGTCGCTCAGGCTGTGCAGAAGTTGGCATTCAAGGTGTCACTTTAAGGTAGATTCTTCCTCGGCAGGCCAAGTCTAGTCGAGGAGGATTTGTTGTGCCAGGTCGGAAATCAAGAGTGAGTGTCGAGTTGGGGGCAGTTAAGCGCCATGTTGCCGGTGATCCTCGCACATGGATTTGGGATAATTGTGAAACCCTAGGTAAAAACAACCCCGCCCCGGCCTCTGCGGTGCGACGTCGCGTCCTTTTCTTCAAGCCAAATGCCTGTGCGCGGTACCTGTGCAGGCGAAGGGTAGCTTATGGGATGGGAAGACCAGCTTGGCAAACAACAAACTCTCCGGCATTGGGGATAACCATACAGCAATCCTTGGGCTTCACAATAATCCTTTTGGTTGTCCACCCTAGCATCTTAGTATTATGTGAGGCCTGTAATTCCCAGCATTAAGGGACTCACCACTCGGCCAGTGCAGGCAAAGCCGTCAAACCAGCACAAGGACTGGTAGGTATGAATGACCCCAGGTGTGATCAAAGTTGTGCGGAAGTCCCATGGGAAGGAGCTCTGGCAACTATAAGGTTACTGATCAACCTGAGAGCCTTCTCTGGCAGACGGCTGCTATTCCTCAGTGCACAATGTAGACGTTGGCATCTTGTGCCAGAGACAAAGAGGCATCTTCATCTTAAACCAGACTCTCCACGCCAGGCGCTGCGGGATGCGTGGCGAGCTGCTGCATCGCTGGACGCTGCTCTGCGGCAGCGATTGGTGGCAGGCGAAGGCAGCGATTTCAGATTCGACCCAAGGGGCAAATGCTGATTTTAGGGGGCACTTTGCTGGTGGATGCGGGTCCAAAAGGTGGTTGAGGATCCTTTGCAACAGGGCTGGGGAACTTAAGCACAGCTGGGCCTTGCCTTTGAGAGTTTAGCACTCGCACCCAAGTGGCTATGGCTATGGCTATGACCACTTTTTCGCTTGTATTGCGATGCATAAGGAGAGCCGTTGTCAGCCCACAAATTTGCTAGTGGGCTGTTGTGGCATGCCAACAATTGCTAGCAATTCATAAGCTGGCGGTCAACTTGCTGCCCCCGCTTTGTGCGTCTCCAGCCATGGGCCGTGGCACGTGAGCAGTTTGGCAGATGCTGTGAGAAGGGAAAACGAAAGCAAGAAACAGTGCCAACGCAAGCAACAACATATCACAGGCACTAACATCTCTGCCCTTTGAAAAGCTCCTTGTGGTAGGCTGGGAAGTCGTCGGTGACATTGTTGAGGCGCGGTGCAGGGGGGGCAGTGACACTCAAGCTTGAAAGATCTTGAAAGGACGAGTGAAGACGGGCGGTCATCTCAAGAATCATCTACGAATCTACAGTAGGCCCCCAAGCATTGGAGAAAACCAGGCTTTAAGCCGGCACTTGGCCGATGAGGTTGCAAGTGGTGAAAAGCATGAAGCAAGAGACAGCATTCCGTTCAGGCGTGCAGCCTATTCCAGCGTGTGCAGCCTGCTTGGTGCCAGAAGGAGACCCAGCACCGGTCACCGCGTCGCACGTGTACACGTGGAATGCCAAGCCCAGCTCCCGCTGTTACTCCAGTGCTGCCACTGCCACGACGACATCTCCGATTCCCAAGATCCTGCTTCAACACCCAAGGTCCTGGAGCTTGGACAATCCATTTTTCCTAAGACAGTCCCGAATTTGTGAGACACATTGAGTTTGCATACGCACCTCTGGGAAGGAGCACGGCAGCCCGATTCCTTTGTCGGAGGCTCTCCTGGCTGGACAGCAAAGGCGCGCGACCCTTTCAGTTCTAAGAAGTCTCATCCATTCAGTGTTTCTGGCCAGACGCGCAAGATGAAATAAGACATGAGAACTGTCATGGACAAGCTCACAAAATCGCCGTTGAATAGACTAGTTTCAAGTCCCCTTGAAAACTAGCTCAATGATAACTGGCACCTCACCTCTCCTCGCAGGCCTGGCTCCAGCTTGTGTAAGCCAGAGGCTTGCTATTGGGGAGGATGTAGGGGCCACGGTAGGGATCCATTCCTCCATTCCATACGAACCACCAGTGAGGAAGCGGTTGGTTTTACAAACAACGCAGTATTGAGTGCCCATACGAGGCAGAGGCCCATGTATCTCCAACCTTTAGTCAGTGATGGCCATAATTCAAACAGCAAGCAAGCTTTCCCCAGGCTTCCAGCAGAGTTCGAGGCATCGCCTTGCCGGTTGGTTTCAGGGATCCGGATCTCTCAAAAGGATGATGGTCTAAGTTGTGGTGTGGCCGCTTGCACAGTGAACGCAAGGCTCTCGAAGCAGGGTCCTTCCTGGAAAATCGGTACCTGTTTGCCAATATGAGATTATAGACACAGTCTGGCTCCTTCAGGGTGCAGGGATAGGGCAGGTCAAATCAAAGAGCGGAGCCTCGAGCTTAGGCCCACATCCAGTCACAAAAACAGGCCAAATAATTGTCCTGGTGCTACAACTTGGCGTACTTTTATGCCTGGAAGTGTGCTGCTGGGTGCTGGCCAGGGATTTTGATGCGGCCCGGCAGATGAAGTGTAAGCGGTTCTAAGCATCTTGCCCTGTCTTTCTGAAATGCACTTTGAGTCCGCTGCGGGCCAGGCTGCAAAGCACGCAATCAAAGGTCAATTCTTAGCGCGTGATTTTTTGAAGCTGGGGTTCCACACCAGGTTCCTGACCATCTTGCCGTGCAACTTCATGCAGCAGCAGCTGGTGCTGGAGCGCGGCCCCAAGTTACAACCGGGTAAGCATGCAGCTCAAATGGGTAGACGCGCAAGGGTCGTTCTATCCTAAGTCCAGGGCTGGGCCGACTTTCGAGAATGCAAAGAACCGCAGTTGCAGCCTGCCAATGTTTTCTCTGGGGCTCCGCCAATTTCCTAGTTGAGGAATGGCTGATCACTTGAAAAGCCTGCCAGTGGTAGGGGCACTAGTTGTTGCAGAGCTGAGCGACGTTACCGTGCTCCTGTCTTCAAGGGTTGAGCAGAAGCCGAACGCCAAAGTCAGGTCCAATCGCTGGAGCAGACTCCCTTCGACTCCACAGAAGACAGAGCAGGCACATATAATTGTCTGAGCAACACAAATAGAAACACAGACAGGCACAAACAGCCTAAACACGATTCCTTGCGTAGAATCAGATTTTGTCATGACGCATCCCCCCTGCAAGCGCTAGTGCTATGGACTTTGCTTTGTGCGGGCTCTCTTTCGTGTTCTATTCTTGCTTGGGACCTCTCCTTGTGGCTTTCATGTGAATTCTGTAATTAAGCGGCTTACTTGGATAGTCTGACCCTGCAATTGTCCTGCAATTTGACATGAATCGTCCCTTGGAGATCGCTTGACTTAGAAAGCTCCGCCTCAACAATGGCATGTTCCGTTGAGAGATGACAAGGCTGCAGCACACCCCCAACCCCTAAGGGCCCTGTCCAGGGGTGAGGTTTAGGGTCACCCTGTAATTTCTGAAAGGTATAGATTCTCAAGCCTAGAATAATTTTGTCACCCCCGAAGAAGCAGCCGGTAGACGTGCAAGTATGTATGTATGTATGTACGTACGTATGTACGTATGTATGGGCTGGCATGTAGCCTCCCACATTCGTAGTGTTGTCTGAGCAATACGGAGCTTATTCATCTCAGTAGGATGTATACATCCTACTGTGTTTTATGTAATTACTGTTCTCCTGCTTTCAAAAAATATTCTTCGGGAATCGCACTACAGTATTGGTAAGGGGTATTTCGTTTCATATTTGGTATGCTCCTTCTCCATAGTCTTAGTATCCAAGGAGCCTGAAATTTAGGTTGTTTCCGCGCAAGAATCGAAACCTTCTCAATACTTCCAGTACTTTCTTTTCCTCATTATGAATCTTAATTATTCGCACCATTCCAATGATTTCCGAGAGACGCTACACGTGTCACAATTTCAACGAAGAAGTCTTAAATCTTGGCCCTTCATTTTCCCTATTAAAAACCCTGACTAGATTGGTTAGTTCCTTATTGAATATGCCTCACATGCAAAGGAAGTCGCACATCCTGAGCTTCTTTTTTTCTGCTTACAACAACCATTATTTCCTACATTCACTTTGACTCCCCCCCCTAAGAATTGTGCTTTATATTGAAAAGAAGAATTCTCAGATCCAAGCTTTTGTTATCCACCATAGAGATCCCGTCCTTTCCGACATCCTGGGCTCCTGTTCGCCTCATTTTATATCAATCCGATTGTAAACGTGTCTCAAATTTTGATAAAGAGGAGTTTGCAAGTCTTGGGCTTCTTCCCCTTTCTCTATATAATTCCCGACTAAATGTTTCTCAAATCTCAACCAGAAGTAGCAGTTATTGCGAATGTTGAGACCATGAGAATCTTGGTGGTAAGGGGCTTATTAAGAGAAAAAGCACGCGAGACTTGAGAAGTCGCATTTAAATTTCCAGCATATTTAGCAAGAAAAAGAATACATAAACAACCGAGGAGCACAGGAGCAATAACTATTCCAAGCCCAAAGCAACCAACAACTTACAAATTCGATTACCGATAGAAACAAACCTCTGCTCTTACGACGAGCGGAAAATTGGCCTCTTATCCAGCAACAAGATACAGGAGAGATACATTTGACTTGAGGAGTGGAAGCTCCCGTTCCTTGCAGGTGTTTCTCTTGATCCCATAGA